AAGATTGGCCATTTCTGGACAATATAATGTATTACCATTTTCCGCATTCCACGGAAATCAATCAATGTCACACAAATTTTATTTTCTGGATTTCGAAATAATTTCTTTCGGCTTTGAACTTTTGGGATTTTCCAATTTGGTTTTTTTTTTGTTTTATTTTCACTGTCTTTTTTTCTCTTCTTCTTTTAAATCGAATTCACCAAACTTCTACAAATTTACCAGATAAAAACTCATTCAATTGAATGAATAACTTGAATTTGATACAAAATTCCGTAGAAAAACGAACGAAACAAAATCTGTTCACTGATCCCGGCGAGATCGTTGAATTTATTTCTTGTGAAAGCAAAACTCACTCAAGCTACTACCGATTTAAATGTGAATTGTATTCACGCACATTTGCCGAATGTAATTTTTGTTTTTTTTTTATTATTTTGGGCCGACCAACTAAACCGTGTGATGATGTATGAACGTGTAATATTTAGCGTTTAGGTTGTTGTTTTTTTTCTCTTAAAATTCGGTGTTAAGCGTTGAACCGTTGGAGGAAGACTAATGAAACTGTTGGCAACAAAGCCAAAGCGTGTGAGTTAAATTATGGTTTGATCGTGTTTTTGTTTTCTATTTTGTCGTACTCTTTCGCATGCACAAACACTCACACACACGTACACTCACTCGTTAAATGCTTGTGCGCTCTAGCTTGCTCCGGTCAATTCGCTATTCGAACATAGAGCGTGTGTGTGAGCGCTTGCGCGCACAATGGTCTTGTGGAACCATCTTTGTTCATTTGTTTCTTGAAGATCGCTCATGCAATGTCGTTTTTCAGCTTAAAATGTTAAAATTTAATGGTTTCTTTTTCTCTCTTCTACCATCAAAAAATACAAGCTTAAACGAGAACACACGTACACTTTTCAATGGTACGAAGAAGAATATTCGATAAAAAAAGAAGAGATGAGAAACGATCCAATCTTACTCATTGCTCGTTCCTTTCTTTGTATGTATGACGATGAAAAGCAGAAAGCAAATGGAATGAAGGCGCGAACTTTGTGCCAGAAGAAACAGCAACATCATCATCGTCGGCAGCAGCAGCAATAACTTAGCTTCGTTGTTTTACATTTCAAAACACGAACCGAAATGAAAATGATCGCAAACTTGTTTGAGTTTGCCATTCGAAGTTCGTTAGTTCGAAGATTATAGCGCGATGACGACGCGCTGCGCAATTTGATGCCATCTTGCATCTCTTGGGCACGAAAAAAAGGTAGAAAAGAAATGAGCCGAAGATGATGAAGACGGGTGAAAAACCTTCGTAGCGAAAGAATATGGCTATAAATTGTGGTGTTGAGCAGTAAACAGCCGCTCCGCACAGTGCAGAACAGCGTGCAGCTACAAAATCAGATTGACCCAATTCACAAAAATCAACCGCTTTTTCTTCATCATTGTGTTCATGTTGGGCTGGTGAGCGTACGCTCGCGCGCACAATTTCATTTGTATACATTTCTCGATGCGCTTTTTGTATTCAAAAATCGCGTTTTTATGCTGTTTCTTCTGCTTTTAATTATGACAAATAACTCTATAGTGTGTGCTTTTGTGCGCACATGATAAAGATAACACTCACAGATTCAAAGCTCATTTAGCACACACAAACATCGTATAAATTCTTTTCATCATGTGCGCAATGCAACAACTTAATAACAATTTGAATCATTGAATAAAAAACAAAAGAAGCCCGCCAATGAAAGACAAAAATCCGATTTTATGGAAATGTGGAGAGAGTGTGGAGAGAAAGATGTATTCGCAAAATCCCATTTTAAAAAATGAAAACGGTGCGCACAATGAACAACATACTGAACTGGAAAATTGAATCATAAAAGTCGTGATACTTTAGAATTTTAGCTCATTCGATATGCGTGCGACATACAAATGTCGGATTTTCTAATTTATTTCGTGCACTATGATTTTCTGTGGTCTCTTTTTTTGTGTAAAATATTACCTTTATATTCTCTATAGATATATCTGTCTGTCCACAGTTCATTATTTAAATAGCACGAGCAACGATGCACGGCAGCTGAACAGAATGTACATTTATGATTTGTGCACACTGTACGAACAACAGATAAATATTACGATTTTATTTGCAAGATAATATTTTGTGGCATTTTTGTTTTGTGGCATTTCTGGTCGTCACTCATATATGCACACATAAAAAAGTTCAATAAACCGACGATGCACAAGCGATGTGCTAACCAAAAAATAAATATATATATGGTTTTGTCGTTCGTTAAATATATTGTGGCCTTTCGACTACATCACCACCACCACCGAACGAACAAAATGATCAAACCGTCCAAACCATGATACAAGCAAATGTTTGCATTACAAAGTCTACTGATAGCAATATTGTACATGCAGAAACGATCGACACATACAAATCGTCTTGTAGAAAGTGGCCTGATGTGGCCATGCACGATATGCGACACATCTGAAACGTTAAACCTTATAATATTTGCAACAAACGAGCAGAAAAAAGGCTCGCTGCTAGTACAAGAGAAAAAAATCCGACATGGATACACTTAAACGTGCACTCTACTCGGCTATCGTTCACTTTGGTGTTGTTGTTTTTTTTTGGTTTACTTCAATATTATTATTCTCATTCTCTGCTGTTTCTCTCTCGGTCTGGCATATCTCTCTCTCTCTCTCTCTGTTTGCGAATGGATTGCCCTGTTCGTGGTTTAACATTGATTGTTTTGTTTGTAATGTGACTTTGTTCTTTATGTATCCTGCTTTTAACCGTTCTCTTCTATTCAAAATCATTCAATAATGAGATTTTATTGTTGTTGAACTCGACCCGTCCGCTCTCTTGCTTGCTACTCTCGCAAACAAATATCAAACCGATTAATGTTACTTACTCTTTTTTTAATGTTAAATTGCACATCGTTTTGCTATTTAATGAAGAAGCAAAGACGAAAAAGTAATAAATAAAAACGCAGAACTTCTCATTACACCATTGAATTGGTTTGAAGTAGATTTTCGCTATTGTTGCCCAAGCATCTTTTGTTCCACTCACTTTCTAGTTGGAACCACGCTTCTTTGATTGACAGCCAACAGATATATAATTTAATCGAAATGATTGGAGCAAAATGAACGAGATTTTTGACTTTATTTTTAACATTTTACGCCTTTTTACATCATCATTTATCGTTTTCATTATGATTTGATGATATTTATATTATTTTTGAACAATTGTGAGAAAAACGCGAACGTATTTGAGACTAAATAAATTTTAAGAAACACTTATGGGATAGAGAAAGAGAGTACCGTTGGGTTCAACGATAGTCTAGAAAAGGCGTGAAACGAGAGTTGTTAAGTAAAACTGATTTCAAATTAATAACATCTGCCAGTTTGTATGTGATTAAAGTACGTCTGCTAAATCAAGTTCAATACTGTAAAATGGACAGTCTTGCAACATACTGAATTTAGTCGCTGAATGCGATAAAAACCGCAATTTACCGAGCTCACTTACTGCGGTCGCCGTCTTCGTCGCCGTCATGCAGTTTAAAATTATTTATACTTATGCCGTTCAATAGATTGATTAAAAGTGCTTCATCAAAACGAAAGATACTTGTAGCCATTCAAATGAATGCATACAATTGCATCAAGATAATAAAAAAATGGTTGCATGCTCCAAAATCAATGAACGAGTCTTATAGCAATGAAACGAAAAAAGATGCAAAGCAAACACACCAACAAATCTTATAAAGTGATTTGAATTGAATTGAATTAGATGTAAAGAAGTTGAAATAAATGAAAAAAGAAAACGAAGACATGCGATCCACTTAATCGGCTGCTGCCACACAAAAAAGAATACCAAATGAAAAACACAGCAAATTCGATAAATGCTTTAAATGAAAAGACGATCACAAAATGTGAAACGAATCATTCAAATCGGTTTTCATTGATTTTCGCTTGGTCTTTCACATGTCTTTAGATTCATTCAAAATGGAAAGAAAAATTGCGATTGAAAGAAACATTCATTCAATTCTATTAGCTTCGTTTTGTGTGTACTTGACAAACGATTCATATTCCGTTCGAAAATGAATGAATACTCAGAAATAATGAAATGTTCAATGTTACTTTTTTCGTATAAAAATACTTATTTTTTGTTGTTGTTGGAAGTTATCTTGAGTATATTTTTTATTTCGCGAACTGAGATTTTTGTGTGAAGCAAAAGAAAGAGAGAAAAAAACAAGCAGCGGAAATGTATCCATGTAACATGGCCAGATCGCGCTAAACGAGTTTTAGTTGTATTTATGAACTTGTCGTTCCTTTTTATTTTCTTTTGCAGCAATTTATCGAGAAAATCAATTATATTGCCCACAAAAATCTCGTATATCTCTTTCTTCTTTTGCACAGCGAAGTTCAACACATTCACTGATCGCTTTAAATCATTTTTTTTTTTAAATAGAAAGTAGTAATTTCTGTGGTGCATCATTTACAGTGATTTATTCATTAAAATCAAACGATATCATATTTCGCCAGCGATTAAAATGTTCACTTGATGCCACATACCAACATATTTTCTATCCATTTCAGTTATTCTCAGAAAATTCTATTGTTTTTATTTCATAAATTTCCGGGAATATCAACGAAACCAAAAAAAGATAGTGTATTCGAATTTAATATGCCTACGAATATGTATGTACACACAAATATTCTTTAAAAGACGAGAAAAAAATGTGTTTTCGTATCCGAACAATAATACAATTTCAACATGAAAACGATGTGATTATTTGTAATATCTCTTTCCGCATTTTTTTCGGTTGTTATTTTCTCTTTCGTCTTTTGTGTGTCATTTTTTTGTTGTTGTTGCATGTTTGAATGACATTTGACGCGACGGTACTTGGACCCCATGATAAATTCTAAATAATACATTATCTAAATAGAATAGAAATATAGTTTTTATTTTTCGTCAATCTACTCAAAAGGTAGAGAGATGAATGGACACATACCACCGGTTCGTGTAGCAGAGCTATCCATTGTGTCTTTGATTTTCATTAAAATGAAAAATTATACACCACGAACGGAATGCACATGAGACAGCACGCAGAAACACAATGCCGCGATTGAGATACCATCAATAGGTTATTGTAAATGTGCTTCTTATTTTGTTGTTATTTTTTCTCTTTCATTCGCTCTATCTCACAAATCGAAATGGTACAAAAAATTTCTCACTATACTTTTCTACTGAATCGATAAATAAAGATTATATATGGAATGATGTCAGACAAGATGGTTTTGATTATGTGATGATTCAAGCGATTTTCTTATTGGTTTTGCTTTTTTTTGCTTACACACTAATTGATTTGCTTTTATTTTTTAGCGAAATTTAAACAAAGTTTTTCATCGTTCATAATTTGTCGATAGAAAATGAAACAAAAATACACAACACCACTTAGTTCACCGCAAACAATTTTAAGATATTCACATTTCTATGTTCGCCGATTTGTTTTTTCACACTGGTTTTTTTTTCTCTCTTTGTCAAAATTGCGGCCAGCCGATTCACTAAACTAGTTACGATGTAATTGTAGAAAATATATATAAACGCAATAGCAAAAACTACACGCAATAACAATCGATGTGCAAGGAATGAAAGAAAGGCGCTCAAAGACGTCAGAATGAACGGCAAATTAATACTGAACTACCATTTTGGATTTTTTTTCGCTCTTTGGATATGTACATTCGGTGTATTGTTGTGCGTGTGCATGTTATTGTTGCTATATTGCTGTTGCTATATTGCTGTTGCTATTGCCATCACCGTCGCAACCATGCAGTCGTCCCTTTCGGACAATGACACAGACTGTCGTGTACTTGCCGCATTCGAATATGAATCATATAGACGAACGATTGTTGTTTGCCTTTCAAACCGTATACCGAAAGGGAGTTTTCATTGTGTCGGTGTGCGAACGAGATGCATTGCTTTGACGCATTGTGCAAATAAGTGACAGAACGGATGAGAAATTTTTGAAAAATCATGGGCTGGGCTGTTGATAACCATTTTTGCAAATTGACAACCATATTTTCTCGCGCACAAACGTTATGCACCATTTTTTGAACAAATATCTTTCTTTGAAAAAAGAAATAGATGAATTTTTTTTAGGGAAATTGTTGGAAATGTCATCATTTTATGAAGATGAATTTAATCGAGGGCAATACCAAACCTAATAACAGCGCATTTCACTTAGGAATCTCTGTCATTTTTAGCTTTTTGCATTGCCGGTTGTCAAATTTTATGGCAAAGTCAGGTTTATCAATAACAAAACATATTTAAAATTCTCACATTTTCAATGAAGAAGAACAAAAACGTCGAAAATTGAGAAGTTATCAATAAAAAAATGCTTGAATTGAGTCTCATACACAGATTAAGTGGTAATAATAGGCCCTTCATTAAATTTATACCATTTAAAAAGAAGTGTTTTTTTCTCGTTTTATTAATCTGTTCGTTTTTTCGGAAAATTAAAACTTTACCACACTCATAAAGGAATAATGTTGTTAGTATATAATGCAACAAAACCTATTATGAACATAATACATGTTGACTCCTTTTATTATTGAATAACAGCCCATTAGAAGGGAGCAAGACTCATCATTCATCAATGGAATTAATCAATTTTTGATTTCCAGTCAGTATTCAAAGAGTTTGTAAGCAGAACAAGGTAAAAATAGTGAGATCAAAACAAAAACACAAGTCTGACGTTTTCATAGTAATGACAGCTGTTGTTTCGATTTTATAGCAAGAAATATTCGAGGCATTGATAACTGATAAAGTCAATCGCAAATTGTAAAAATTATTTAAATTAAGACTTTTTCAGTGTGACCTTCTACCGTTTTTGTTTATTAATAATAATTGGATAATCTGTTCACAAGTAAAAAAAAGCTGATTTCTTTTCTAATAATTTTATGTTAAATAACCTCAAAACCCTCTGCCTGCATGCTATTTTTTTGTGTTTGTGAAATGATAATATTCAGGTTATCAGTAAACAGTTGTCAGCTGTAGATCGTGGTGTGAAATTCACTGATAAGCAAATTCTATATTAAAACTTCGATCAATTTTACAATTTTAAATTTTTCCAATTTTATCGTCTCCATCCAGAAATGATAAGTAAATTGTTGTCGCGTCCAATTTGTTCATTACTACGAAGTAACACAAGACTTATGGCAACAGCAAAAGAAATACCTACAACGGATTTGGTGTTAGCTGAAGATGTAGGCGATAAAGGAGTCTTAATTTTAAACCGTCCAAAAGCATTGAACTCGGCCAATTTTGAAATGGTCGATAAATTCGCCCGTGTTCTAGATAAATGGCACAATACAAAGTCGCTGATCATTGTTAAGGGCGCGGGCGGCAAAGCATTCTGTGCTGGTGGTGATGTGAAAACAATTGTTGAAGCTGATACAGCTGATGTGGGGAAGAAATTCTTTGGAACCGAATATGTTATGAATCATATGATTGGAAATCTCCAGATTCCTTATGTCGCTTTAATAGACGGCATCACAATGGGAGGCGGTGTTGGAATTTCGGTTCATGGCCGATATCGCATTGCAACAGAGAAAACGTTGTTTGCAATGCCTGAGACAGCGATTGGTAAATATATTGGCATAGGTTCTGACACTGGGGAAATTGGAAAAAATCGATAAAATCTAGAACAAAAATGTTTGGCACAAAAATTGATAAGAGGGAGGAGAATTATCTCCAGAATTTCATGTTGTCTAGAGTAAAATTTCGTCCTCAAATGCGGGGGATCGATTCGCTATGTCAGAAGCTATATATATGGAATTTATTCTGTGTGCTTGAGTCTATTTAACCAACAAGTTTCAATGATTTTTTAAAGGTCTCTTCCCCGACGTTGGTGGATCATATTTTTTGCCACGTCTTCAAGGAAAACTTGGTTACTATTTGGGTCTGACAGGTTTCCGGCTGAGAGGTACATCCAATGAAAACTTTGTGACAATATATTCATAGATGATTTTATGTATCATCATTAGGTCAAGATGTGCTACACGCTGGCGTTGCGACACACTATTGTGAAAGTGCCAAAATTCCGGAAATAGAAAAAGTTTTACTCGATTTGAAAGACACAAAAGACGTCGATAGTGTTATCAATGACTTTTGCCCAAAACCAAAATCCAAATTCATTTTGGCAAAACATCTTGATCAAATCAATAAATCGTTTAATGCGTCGTCAATCGAAGAGATCCTAAGCAATTTGGAAAAAGACAACAGCGAATGGGCTCAACAAACCATTAAGGTATTCAACAGTTTGCTTAGATTTTTCAATTTGTAAATTGAAATAAAATAATCTTTTTCTAGACACTTCGATCAGTTTCACCACTTAGTTTAAAAGTGACTCTTCGCCTTCTGAACATTGGATCAAATTTCCAATCGCTTGGCGAATGTTTACAAATGGAATATCGATTGGCCGTGCATTTTGTTGAAGATAGTGATTTCCATGAAGGTAAAATATTTAAGACACCAACATTTCGTCATCATAAATCATGTGTATTGGATTTAATCGTATTGATTCATCAGGTGTTCGGGCATTGCTTGTTCGAAAAGATAATAATCCAAAATGGAATCCAGCACGCATTGAAGATGTCACCGATGAACGAGTGGAATCGTTCTTCCGACCATTGCCAAACAACGAAGACTTGCAAATGTAATCATTTTCAAACGATAGCGAAATTTTTAAAACAACAACTAATTTCTTCTCTTGAAATTCTCACAAAACAGAAACATCAAATTGAATTCAAAGCTATAATAGTGTGACCAAATGTGACATAGTCCAAAAATATTTAACCACACTGTGTTTGGGTCCTTGGAACAAATTAATAACATTCACAACAATTTTTTATCGTTAAATATATTAATAAAATAATTCATCACGTTTGGTGAATTACACTTTGATTTGTTTGTATTAAATCTCCACAAAATAAAATGTTTTTATGAAATCCATGTTGCGTTTTTCTTTCTCACCCAAATACATGCATAAGTAGTCAGGTAACGGTACATCTTTTGTACATTGATATCGACTACGATCGTCTGTGTGATAAAAACAGCAGTTAAGCAGTGCTGTTATGGCATTGAGAAGCGAAATTTTAGCCTGTGTGTTGGTGTCACGGATACAGCAAAACTCTAATATTCATTGTCGCTCAAACTAACAAGAACAAGTTCGTGTGCATTTTAATGCTCTTTTCATTCGCCAACATAACGTTGTTGTGGCAATTGGCAAATTTTATTTATTCGCCATTTTAATTTGTTTTTATAGATATTTGTTTGTAATTTATGCCCATCTATTTCGCAAATTAAGCAAAGAAGAAAAAAATTATTTGATTTTGTGTCGTTTTCTCTGTAATAAAACTGAAAAAGGTGGGTTTCATTTTTAAGGTTATTTTTTGTCCATGGATTTTTGTATTTAAAAAAGTCGATTTTTGTCATTAGAATCAATCATACCATGTTGTGGAAGAAGGAATCGAGTGAGTCCGGTGAGCGTTTTGTCGATCTCTTTGAATCCATCGACGAGAAAGGTCGTCAGGCCGTTGACCGCTTGATATTGGATGAAATGAAAGTATATGAAACATGTAAAGGCAATATTGTTTCAAACGAATGGCGTCGGCTAGGGACTGAGTGTTTTCACTCTGAAAATTGGTTGCAAGCATTGACTTATTACAATCGAAGTTTGCGTCATGCTGAAGTTGGATCGGAAAGTGTTGCACTTGCTTATACAAATAGATCGGCATGTTTTTTTCAATTAAAAAGGTACAAAGAAGCCATAACTGACATTGAACTTGCTTTAGGAAGTGCAAATCTTCCCGCCAAATGGATACCGATACTTAAAGCACGCAAGAAAAAATGCCATCAAATTCTATCGAATTTAATTCAATTGAAAAAAAATGAACCAAAACTTAGCTACAAATCAAACAAAAATCACCCGTACATAGCAAATGTGCTCAAAATCCGATATACCGACAAAGATGATAATCATTTGGTTGCAACGCGGGATATTCCTGTGGGGAAAACCGTTTTATTGGAAGAAGATTACTTATCAAGCTACAAATGGGAGCACGCTTGCGAGACGTGCTGGGTTCCTGGAGAAAAAACAAGTCTCATACCTTGTAACGAATGCGCACTCGTGACATTTTGCAGCACCAAATGTCAGAAGATGAATAGAACGCATAAATTGGAATGTGGTTCGGTTTTAAATGCAGAACATGCAACTACTAACAGGCTGATCATTCAATCAATCTTACGGGCCATCGCAACTTTTCATAATATCAAAAGTCTCATGGAATTTGTTGGAAAGATCTTGCTCGAGGTTTCGAAAAAATTGCCGGATTCAACGCTTGATGAGAAGTCAATGTATCACTGTTTCTTCAAATTGGAACGAGACAATGTGTTGCATGATGAACAATTGCCCACAATTTATCAATTGTATAGATTCATAATGAAAATGCCAAAAGTTAATGTCATGTTTGAAACAGAAGAAAAAAGACGCTTTCTCATGCACTTGGTCGCTCATCATTTCAATATCGTTATGGAACATTCGTATGACTTGCGACATGGAAAAGTTCTTCCCCTGTTTACAAGTCGATTGGGTCATTCGTGTGCAGCGAACCTCATGTTAATTATTGGAAATGATTATCAATTCTGTATAACTTGTCGACCGGTGAAAAAAGGTGAAATGCTGTGTTATAGCTACTTGCCCATAACGATGCCAATGGAAAAACGTCATGCAGCTCTAAAATTAGGTTTTAAAATTACATGCAAATGCGATGATTGTGTCCTACCTACGCTACCAATCGATTCAGAATTGATCACATTGGATACAGATTACAGATTCATTATGAAAAACTATACTAGCAACGTGTATTGTCCCGTTGAGCGCGAATGCATCGAGTTTTTGAACAAATTTGGCCATCTTTGGAGCAGTGAAATACGAAGTATTTACATTATTTATCTTACAACTACTTATTCTCTCCACAGTGCAAAATATTGATCCAAATTAGGATTTTTTTTTAAATATTCGTTTTACTTTAACAACATTTTATTTATGTCCAGTTTACAAGATATTTCCAATAATTGATACTACAATTTTTAAGAACGTACTGAAAATGAAATAAAGAAAGTTAGATATTGTATATAAATCATTACTAAAAAAATAATAAAAATTACTAACAAAAGTTATTGGTTTGTCCTTTTTTTTCTCAACAGAGTAAAGTCCATATGATTTTGAAGAGAACCGAGTTTGAACGTGCCTAGAGAAAAAATAATTTATTTCTTCGTTTCATAACATTTTTTTTATTTTCAATAAATTTTCACCGTTTCATTGAATCAAACTTATTTACATCAAAAAATATAATCTATTTTGTGAAATCAAATAAAATCTTTTCGCCAATCATTCCTTTCACATCGGCCAATTCTATCATGGCCTCTTTGTATTCATCTAATGGAATGAGCCGATGAACCGGTGGTGCGAATTTTCCAGAAGCCATAAGTTCAAACAATTCGTTATACATTTGTTGTCTTTCTTCGAGTGTATGTTCTTTGGACCACTTTGACACCCAAAAACCCCGAAACGAAATGTCTTTGAAGATCAGCGCTGAGTTTGGTATGGTAAGCGGTTCCCGTGACATTGCTCCATAGGTGACAAGAATTCCTTTGCTGGCTAAATGTCGCATGACATTCGTGGCACTTTTGCCACCAACACAGTTGAAGCCCAATTTCGGTGATGGTATTTGTTTTGACTTGAACAGAGCAGTTGTTCGAATCTCTTCTTCGGTTAATACTTCTGTGGCACCCAATGATTTCAGTTGTGCTTTTAGTTCGTCAATATTTGGTCTATTTCGAACCACATTTACCGATTGTAAATTCCATACTTTGCATAATTGAATAACGGCTTGGCCGACCGCACTGTTAGCTCCATTTTGAATGACAGTATCGCCTGGTTTCAAGTCAACAAAATCACGTAACATTCGAAATGCGGTTGCTGGATTTACCGTAATCGTAGCTGCATTCACATTATCAACATTATCTGGAACTTTTAGTACGTCTTGCCCGGTGAAAATGGCATGTGTTCGCCAAGTTCCGACATGACCACCAATCGGAATGATTCTATCGCCAATTTGAACATTCTTCACATTTTGACCACATTTCAACACTTCAGCGACCGCTTCATTTCCCGGAATAAATGGCAAACTTGGACTTTCACCGTATTTTCCTATAAAAAAAGTACATTTGGATAAAACGCAGCCGGCTAGATATTTTCTGTAGTTGACAACATGAAATTACCTTGTATGATATTAATTACGGCGGGATTAATTGGAGCTGCCAGCATTTTTACTAAAATTTCATTGTCCTTTGGTGAATCCAATTGTGTTTCACATTTCTTTAATACTTTGTGCGGTTCACCGAGCTCATCTATTTGTAAGAACGTTGATTTCACACTCATCGCACGAATATTTAGTGACATCAGTTTCGGTAAACCAATTTTACTACTCAAAATTAGTTTTTGATACAACATTTTTGACGATTTACTTCAAATCACAGAGAAATTAGTGCAAATCAAGAGAAAAAACGAATCGAATTTATTGAAGTTATTACTTATTTGTACAGCGTATGGATGAATGACACTGACAGTTGGAAATGACAGTTGACACACTAACAGTATTATTTTATAGCACGAAAACATTTGAAAGTTTAGCGGCATGCTGAGTGAATGATTTTTTTTAAAACTAAATATAAAGTTTATTTTGTAGTGCAGAGACTATGTGAAAAAATATTTTAAAAATTAATAGAAGCATTTTTTTAGTTTTCGGCTTTTATTTAATCAGAATTTTCAAATGAAAGAAAATAATTAGTCTATCTATTATGTACGGATCATACTAGTCGATCAAACTGCGAAAAATTTGAAAGATCATCCTTTAAAATCAACAAGGCATTAAAAACAAAATAAACTTCTCTAAAATGAGTGGATCTAACGCAATGTTACAAACTGTCATTAAAATAAATTTTAACAGAGAAGAATTCGAAATATTCAAGAGTTTATCTCACTTTAGAAAAATCGTAAACAAATTATCAAACGATAAAATATAACCTTCAGTCATGTAAATAGAAAAAAGACTTGAATAAACAAAAATGTTACCGCTGCTAATTAAATCGTGATACAAACATTTGCAAATGGTTCAAGCAGCTTACGTCACACATCTTTATCACAATTTAGATTTCGCTAAATAACAAGGCCCAAATAGTCGATTTTGAATAAATAAATATTTGTTGCATGAGCGAAACACAGTTAAATTTGTTGAATAAAATGAGAATAATATTAAAATTGGTGATTATTGGATTGAGCATATTTATTCTCATTAAAGCCGATTCGACTTGTCAAAAAATTTCCATTCAGGCAAAGGCTGGAAAAATCGCTGGTAATTTATTTTGGTATTTTTTCTTCTTTTCTTTATCTCATAATTAAAATGTGAAATTGATTACAGCACTGAAAACGTGTAACTATACAAATGGTTTGCGCTATGATAATTGGTACAATTTGGATGATTTCCGTGCCGTGAAAAGGGCGAATGAAATTAAAATGAAATTGTACGTGATTGGGAAACAAGATGCATACATACTTCTAAGCCCAGAAAAAGATCCTGGTTCCGGCGATCCTGCTTATGAAATTAGTTAAAAATCGACACAATGGCATATTAGCATAACATCGAAGAATAAAATATAATTTCAAATTTATACTTTACAGTGATAGATTATCGAAGCGATTACAATGTTAACAATTATCACAGTGTTTCAATTCGACCCCAAAAAGCTGTATACTTTCCCAAATCAACTTGGCACACAGAAGATTTACTCAACTGTGATAAACCAAATGAAATAAACCTTACAATTAACAAAGGTAAATTGCCAATCAAATAATTTCAAGCTCTTATGAATTATAAAATCGTTTATAGATGATGGCATCAAACTCACTGTCAATGGAGGAAAACAGTACAATGCTTCAAAATACAATAACGTTAAATATGTGCGGTTTGAAAGTAATACTCTAAATCCAATTGATTATTATTTCAATTGTGATTAACTTTCCAATGATGAAAGTTTCAAAATAGCATGAAAATAACATAATAAAGTTCAATTTTTATTGCTTGATGATTTAATTTTCGGTCGTTTATTTATATGTTTAGCGCATTTCAATTATAAAATGTTGAACCTTTTAATTGAAACCATGTCAGGAGATACATAGAAGGACTTTCTTGCTTCCAGCTTCTCGAGATTCCGAAAATATTAAATCAAAAGATGAACATGTATTTATAATGTAAAAATACAAGTCAAATGTTTTTCATTTTTAGATTAGTATGAAAAGCGTATGTAATTCGCATTAATTCTATTATAGCTTTATGTCACGCAAAACAGTCAATTCATTTCAGTGTGATATTTAATGTATTCTTAAACACTCAAAAATATGTATCGGGGGGTTTTTGGGTACGAGAAAACCGAATATGACGCTAGTTTTGCGATACAAATATATTTCGACACACTTTTCATACAAAAATTTCAAAAAAATTGGATTTTTGTATGAAAGCCATGCCTGTATGATATCGTAATTAGCTGAAACTTTGCACAGGTTATTTTTATCACACAAAAATTCCATTCCGAAAGTTTGAAGACATTTCAACGCATATTAGGAGTACCTTCCGAACAAAATTTTGGATTTTTCGCTCAAAAACAAATATGCGTTGAGTTAAGTACCCTTAATATGCGTTGAAATTTCTTCAAACTTTCAGAATGTTGACTTTTTGTGAAAAAAATAACCTCTGCAAATTTTCACATGATTACGATATCATATAGGTATGACTGCGATACAAAAATTCTCATTTTTAGTAGTTTTTGTATGAAAAGTGCTTCGAAAATTATTTGTATTGTAAAACTAATGTCAGATTCAGTTTTCTCTTGAATTCTTTGAGTAAAAGATTTGTAATAAATGCATGTTGTGGATCACAGTGCGGAAAAGTTCATCTTACGGATGTAAGACATTTTATTTTTCATGTGTTGCGTAAATTTTTCAAAAATAGCAGCACTCCTGGCCTTCGATATTTTTCCGAAGTCGGACTTCACTGGTGTGAAAGGTAAGAGCATTGCGACAATCACAATTTGCCCCAATATTAGAGCTTCAAAAAGCAAATTCGATATGAACTCAGCAATCACAAAACCATCCAATTTCATATCGGACAGAGAGTATGTAGCTTTGAGACGTGTTCTTCTTTTGCCATAAAATTTTTTTTTCAGTTCACGGCGATTGAATGCATTGGCACATATTTGTACATTTTTACCGGAATTTATCACAGTTGACAACGACAAAAAATTTCCGCAGAACTCATGACGGTGAAGAACAATCGAAATGCATTAATTTTCTGGAATATGCAGGATGGATATGCAGATATATATGACGAAAACAACTATCCATTTCAAGGATTTCATGCGAGAGGACATAATAACTTAATGATGACTCTCATACTCCTCAAAGAAAGTGTTGTGCATCGGTGCAATGGATACGATTATGGGTTTAAATTTATTTTATCTGCACCGGGTGATACATTGAAAGTTTCACGCAAATATTTTCAATTATCATCTTTTGAACACAGCACAGTTCAAATAATAACCGAATAAACAAACACATCCAAATTAAAGAAACGAGAGTGTTTTGATAACAATGAGCGTCAATTGCATTTCTTCAAAATTTACTCACAAATCAACTGCGAAGAGGAGTGTTTGGCTGATTTCACCAAAACTGAATGCGGATGTGTGAAATTCTCGATGCCAAGTAATTCCACTCATTCAATTTGAAGTATAAATGACACAAATATTTTTGTTTTATATAGGAGATAAGAATACAAGAGTTTGCAGTGTATCAAGGATAATGTGCTTGAAAATGGCACAACGGAGGCTTCGCACTACACCCAATGGAAAAGCGTTTCGTGATGGATGTAATTGCATGCCAGCATGCACATTTATCAAATACTCATATGATCTAAAAATTGAACGAAATGCAGTGGATGCGAAGAGTTTGAACCAATGGAGTGATTTTGATACTGAGCATTAAAAAGAAGTAAGTTATGTTTATTATTTAATCAATTCATTAAAATCTGTGAAATCCAAAATTCATTGAAGTGAGGAATGAAATAAAAAAATGTTAATCATTTCTTTTAGCACGGAAATGACATGTGTCTTGTTTCGTTCTGCTGCCCCAGTTTATAAGCTAAACGAAAGAAAGGAATTGTAAAATGTTTGCTCAGACTCTTCTTAGGTATTTCAGTATTGAGTTTCACTGAGCTGATTTTCTACGCCACACCTCGGCTGTTTTGGAGAATGAGATATTTGAAAAAGATTTCTTCGATTGTTGAAAATGTCACCACCTGAATCGACTACCATTCATGGTTCTATTGAATCGACTACTAAACGAGTTATGAGAAATTCTCAAATATCTGATCTTGAAGTGACAAGTAAGTTAAGTATTTTTCAATCCGATGAAGATGAATAGTTTTTAACTAAATGTGCTTTTCAGGAACGACCTTTTAATGCAGCAAGACTCCTGTTACACGAATGATTAAATTTTCAATAACAAGAATTTAAATTAAATTTTCACAAAATTTCCACTACAGAAAAAAATAGCACCTTTAGATTTTGTAGATGATCAAAAATTCAAGGGTTTTAATATTGATAATTATTTTAGTAAATCGCATATAACGTGTACATTTGACATGACTTAAATTTTCATAGTTTTTTTTTGGTTTCAAGATACCCTAACAAAAATTAATGAAGAAATTTTGTTTTTGGTTTTTTTACAACTTGTTCATTCACAATTCTTGTTTCTTCCTTAAATACATAATAAAAAAGTGTTCATTCTTATATGTGTTTCTTTTTTTAATTCCAAAAACTATTTTTATATTACAATGACTTTTTTTTATAATTTCCAATTAATGAGATAGAAATTTCGACTTCCAGTCCGCAGGAGCGTGAAGTTGTTGGCTAGAATGTGTACGGTGGGCGATATCATTTCGGAAATATTTTTACATCGATTTTGATTAATGTAGAATCCACCTTGTGTAATTAATCTCGTCGCTTCACCTAATCGCATCAATTTGTATTTATGAAAAAAATTATTCCACGTGAAAGAAATTTGGTTGAAGAAAATATACGTACGTTCGTGTTTGTAGATTTTCGCTTTTAGAGCTAAGTCCAAAACTGTCATTCCTTGTTCAAGAATAACATCATGTACTGTGGCTCCAACGAAAATGCTTTTCATTTCTTTCTGACTCAGTGATGATAATACGGTAAAGTCTCCGTCGTATAAGGCTGCTGAAGCTTGCTTGGCTGTCTTCAATCCGCTCTCTGTTATTAATTAATACATAACATTTTTAAACTATCATGAATGAAAAAAGTGAAAAAAAATTACCTCCATGTATCAAAAGACACATCTGTTCGGCTAATTTTCTTGGCGCAAATTTCAAATGTAAGGCTTTGTTTTGTTCGGTCATAATTTCATGAATTTCATCGAATGAATAGAGTGACAACATTTTCAAAAGGTGTTCCACTGTATCATCAGGTGTCCGGATAAAGAATTGATATAACGAAAACGGTGAGGTCTTCTCAGCATCAAGCCAAACAGCATTACCTTCTGATTTCCCAAATTTCTTGCCATCTCGTGTCGTCAATATTGGCAACGTAATGCCATATGCACTTTTTTCGTTTCCCATTCGTTTGATTAAACGATGACCGGCACTAATGTTGCCCAATTGATCAGATCCGCCCAACTGTAATCGACAGTTATGTTTTTTATACAGCTGCCACCAGTCGTAAGATTGACAAATTTGATAAGAAAATTCAGTAAAAGAGATTCCTTCCTCCGATTCTAATCTCTCTTGAACTGAAGTAAGTCGCATCATTTGTCCCATTCGAAAATTCCGGCCGATGGTTCCGATGAAATCGATGAATGAGAGATTTGCATACCAATCAGCATTGTCAACAATTCTATATGGAAATGTTTCAACATTAGTTTCACATTTTATTTAAACTAAAATGCAAATTACTTGACTGGATTCAATTTTCCTTGTTTATTCCACAAATATTTTCGATGATTTTCGAAAATATTGTGTAGCTGCTTTCTTATGCACGATAAATTATGTTTGAGTTCTTCGGGTGCGAGGGCATTTCGCTCGTTAGATTTTCCGCTTGGATCCCCTATAAGTAACAGAATTCAGTACCTTATATTTAATTTTTAATTATTTAAATTCACCTATTTGCCCAGTTGCTCCACCCACCAATGCAATAGGATGATGACCGGCACGTTGGAAATGAAGTAATCCAATGATTACTAACAGATTTCCAACGTGCAGACTGTCAGCTGTTGGATCGAAACCCGCGTATATGTGCTGCGGTGAAGCATTTATAAGCTCTTCAATTTGTGGCCTAAAATTTTTGGCAATACCTCTTTTTAAAAACAATACTTCCAAATGATGGCCATAGTAATAACAAACCTTGCATCACTCGGAAACACTTCTTTGATAAATCCTTCTCTGTTAAAGATACTTGTCACTGGTCTCGTTGAAAATGTTCGATATTTTTTACTCAAGACAGAATGCAATTGAATCACTCTGAAAATCATTGTTTACCTTTTAATATCACACAGCTCTGGTTACAGTTACACTGCTCAGTAAATAAAAAAAAGTTCAGTCATATTTCAGGTTAGAATTGAGTAAATATTGTCAGTTTATGAGACAAGTGAAACGCTCCAACTTTACACCGTTTCAAATTTTCATATTTACTCGGAAAAAAGTCGAAATATATAAAAAATTTCAAAGAAAATGTCCAAAAACCATGCAGAGAAAAATCAATTTCATTCAATATTAAATATAAACGTTGTAATTGAGAGAAAATACGAGGTGCGTTTGGTAAAATTGATAAATTGAAAGTATTTTTAAAACGGTTTCTTCGTTTTGTTTTTCCATCGATGCGCCATATGTTTTTATGGTAGTTTGAAGTGTGACATAAGGCATTCGTAAGCATTGGCTCCTTTTGTATGTGTGTATGTGGTGTTTGTTGTTTTCACATACACATACATCGAAACAACCAATCGAATAGCCAGCAACTGTGCACACAAATACATAACACACTGTAGCGTTGTGCATGTGTATTCATGGTTAATGCGTATTGTTCGTATTGACGACACAAAGGAATCAAGACATAAATAAAATCTACACCAAAACACTGAGTTGCCATAAAAACGTTCGTGTTCTGGTGTTGCTGCTACTTGCTCTTTATCCATTGTTACTTCATTAATCAGTCAGAGTTTTTGTCTTTGTGTAATAAATATCACCTATTCGCCATATCGCGTGTGTACGAGAAAATAATTTACAGAAAAAGTAATTTGTATGTGTCCAAATATTGTATAAAGAAATTTTTCGTGGTGACTGTTTAATGCAGTCATCAACCGAAAAGAAAGAGCTCAAATCTGGGTGAAGAAAAAAATAAATAATAATCGGAAAAAAAGAGTATTTCTCCCAACTACGAAATTCTTTCAATTCCATTGTCCAATCGACCTACAGACTAGATTAGTTTGTGTTCGTTTTTTTTCTTTTTTGAGTTCGACTTTTAATTGTATTTCACCAAATATTTTGTGAGCACGCGTTTGTGGTGGTGTAATTTTGCATTCAGACAACAAATTAAATCAAAACCGATCAGAACAAAGTTAAAATTTAAGAATATCAAATCAAAACGGAAATTCTGACAACTGGAAGCAATACGTTTTATCTATAGAATTTAAATTGTTTGTGTTTTATCGTGTAAAGTGCATTGTAATACGATCGTAAATATTTTTCAAGCGAAACATCAAATACCTAAAAATAAATAGACACATCACAAAGATTTCACACAAAATGCAAGCTAACGAAGGCGACGGCGATGGATGGGCCGCTAACATTGAAGAACAGTATATCGAAGCAATTGAACGACAACAGCCCAACTATGAAGCTCAATACTTAAGCGAACGCGATAATTGCATCCGAAATTTATTTCATAATTTTCAAGAATCAGCCACATCAATCGCACAACTCTACAGAGGTAAAATGAGAATGTGTCAAAATTACATGGGACCAACATTTTTTTTTTATGTCGAGTCAAGTGCAATAGAAAAATAGAGAATCTCTTCGCAACCACTGTTTTTTTGTTGTTGTTTTCATTGAGCTGCGGTTTGTGCTGTGACGGCATTTAGTGTGCGCCTTTTGGAGTGCATGACGAAATCAGTCTTTTTGAGAGGTGTCAACGAATAAATTATTTGACAATAACTGGTTAATCATCCATGAATTTCGGCATTTTTGAAGGATTAAGCTAAAAAACAAACATTTCCATCGATATATACGGTTATTTCGTTCGAAAGAACGATGCGGCAGACATTTTGTTATTTTGTGTGGTCACATATTTGATGACCATAAAAATGAAATTAATACGGAAATGAAATACTTATTTCTAGACGTAATAAATCGTTTAAATGGAATATCGTTTATGGAAATTCGAGAAGGTTGCATAAAAAAGAATATTTCCACGGAATTTAATTGATTTGATAACAAAATCAATATATCTTTGGAAATTGAATTGCTTGTCGCTAAGAAGATTTCCTTTCAACACAAATTGTCGTGAATTGCAAATTATTATTAACCTTTGTCATTTTCGTTTATGGAGACGCTTTTAACTCGTTAATTTTTCAGGCAAATTTATTACACAGCTACGAGGGTTGCTCCATAATTTTTTTTAAAAACATATATAACACAGTTGTTTTTTGTCGAAAATGGTTTTATTGTTTTTCAAAATATTCCCCGAGATGATCGATACACTTTTGCATTCGATGAAACCATTTGTCATAGCATTCGTGCCACTCCGAAACTGATATCTCCAAAACGTGTGTTTTGAACGCTTCAACTGCTTCTTCTGGTGTCGAAAATCGTTGACCACGTAGTTTTTTCTTCACGCTTGGGAACAAAAAAAAGTCATTGGGTGCCAGGTCAGGACTGTACGGTGGATGACCCATCAGTTCGATGTTTTGACCGGTCAAAAATCGAGTAGTTTGAAAAGATGTGTGAGAGCTCGCATTATCGTGATGAAGAATTATTTTGCGACGGTGGTTGTTTTTTCTTATTTCACCAAACACTTCGGGCAAACAAATGGTGGTATACCAATCAGAATTGACGGTCATACGATCCTCTAGTGGAACGGTTGCCACATGACCACTTCTCCCGAAAAAACAGGCGACCATTCGCTTCGAAGTGCTTCTTGCTCGAACAACTTTCGTTGGGTTATCTTCATTTTGGAAGACCCATACAGTCGACTGCTGTTTCGTTTCGGGCTCATAGGCATATATCCACGATTCGTCACCAGTGACGATTTTATTAACGTCTTTTGAAGCACCACGATTGAATTTCTTGAGCATTTCTTTACACCAACTCACACGAGCCATTTTTTGTTCATCGGTCAATTTATGTGGGATCCAACGAGAGCAAATCTTTTTTACGGCTAAATGTTCATGCAAAATTGTATGTATGCTGTGGGATGAAATGCCCAAAGATGCCTCAATCTCACGGTAGGTCACATGACGATCTTCCATAATCAGTTTTCTGACAGCATCGATGTTTTGTGGCACAACAGCCGATTTTGGACGACCTGTATGAAACTCGTCTTTGAGCGAACTACGACCGCAACGGAATTCTCGGTACCAGTTATAAATTGTCTGAAGGGTTGGTGCTTCATTGCCAAAGGCCAAATGAAGTCGATCGAAACACTGTTGTTGAGATAATTTACTTCGAAAATCGTAGTAAATCATTTTACGAAAATCTTCACGTGTAAAATTCATTTTTTTGTTGAGTCGCAGTTTACCAGTCACTGTAAACAATACAAATAGCGTTCGTACGACAAAAGGTTCAGGGCACGAATACATACCAAAACATCAAACTTTACGAATATGACAATGGTTTACATCGGGCAACACTATAAGTACCATTTTAAAAAAAATTATGGAGCAACCTACGTATTGATCATTTTAAAGTGAAATTTAAAATGAGCTCATTTAAAGTTTTTTTTTTCTCTTTCTATTGCACACTTATTATGTCACTTTCGAATATGTTTACATTTTTTTTGTTGCATTTCTGAGAAAGTTAGCTATGAATAGTAAATAGTTAGGTGAATTAAAGGAGTGGCATTTTACATGTTGACATAGTTATTAGCTACATTAAGTGATACAAAAAACGGAATTGACAAAATTTGTCCTTTTTTTCTATTCGATACATAGACAGAATGAATACGAGTGAAACAGGTGCTCTGTGGATACCGTTTCAAACAGCAGCTGGAACTGTTACTACTTTATACAAAGGTAAGATTTTCTTTACACAAAAAAGTGATTCTTTTGAGCTCACACATCAAATTAGTAATGTAAAAAAAGTGTAGAAAAAATGAATGTTTACGAGTAACATGAAAACTTATGTAAAATAAAATGTAACCTTTTCAATCGTTCTTATTTAGAATCATGTGATGGAATGCGTCGTACAAATGACTTGGCAATGAATACAGGATATCAGCGTCGTACCCGTGATATTGCCGATTGGGCGCGCAGTAAACGTCGACGTTATATTCGTCGCGAAGATTTGCTTGCCTATTTAGCTGGAAAATCATCACCGCCATCAGGGATGATACATGTTACACGACTGTCTCCACAGCATTTGTATACAAATACACAACAAGCGAAACCATTGCACGGTCAACATATTGTACCGACTTCACCAACATCAGCACATCAAATGCAACCACACAATGAGCATCATCATCTGCACAACGGTGCCACTTTTGTCTCATCGGACTCAGACTTGCATACGTTCAAGGATGCCTTAGCTCGTCGTTCACGGTCAGTATTCAATTGCATTAAATGCAGACCATAAATGAACAAATGACTAAGTGATTGTTTTGTTTCTTCTTCTTCTTCTGTTTTTTAAATGTACAGTGCTCCCGAGTTGTATGCATTCGTGGCCGGTGAAATCGCTCGTAATAGCAAGCGACCAGCTAGTCCATTAGATGTAAATATGGATGTTCAAAGTCTTTGCAGTAAAAGACAGCGTTTCATGTAAATTTTTGTCAAGAACACTCTCACACACAACCATCTTCAGATTAAAATAATAATAACAATGAAACACATGCGCCCGATATAAACAGCAACTGCACACACACATCATTCTCTGGATATACGTATAAATTAGAAAATATCATCAAAGAAATTAAAATAATACCAGAACAACACCAATAATAAATCTATGCATTATGCTAATGAGAAGAGAGAGAAAAAAAATCGAAGCGAGATTCACAGGCAGATAAAGAGACAGAGAACTTGGATCACCATATTCTACATACAAACAATTTTTTGACAAGAGAAGAACAACAGCGAATCGGAACAAATCATCAGGTTAACAGACATCAAAGAAACAAATTACTAATTGTGGTACCGAATCGAAGTTAAAATTACTAAAACACCCATTATTCTCACACAAACACACGCATAGAAGCAACCATCTCGTTATCACTTTAAAATCTTTTTCGTTTTTTATTCCCTCTTTTGATATAAATTTTAAGACTTTTCATTATAATTACTTTTTTGTATACATTCGGAAGCAATTTACTTACGAATAATTATTGATGATATTTTGGAAAGTAAAAAAAACATATTTTGGAAATTGTTAAAAAAAATCGTGTTAGAACGGCAAAACCTTAGGAGATCAATGAATTTCTTTTAATCATATATTTTTGCTTTATTTTTTTTTTTTCGTTGATCCAATTTATTTGAAGTTATGTTTATCCCCTTTTTTTCCTCATCCTCAATTTTTTTTTGTTCATTGTTTTTGCAACACAGAATGTCGCGCTCGCTTTTTTTTCGTTCAGGATATTGAGTAAATAATGATCTGTTTACTTATTATATAACTACAAGAAAACCAAAATCAGTAAGTTAGGTTATTTACTGCGTATTGTAGTACACTTTTTTTGCTTAGTCTTTATTGCAATTACTATTAAAAATGAACTTACGTGTATTAATTTACAACAACAAGAGAAAAAGAGAAAGAGGTTAAGAAAAGTCGAAATGAATAAAAAAAACAATATTTTTGCCAATTATCAAACATAAACGGTGGCCTGTTTTATTTCATTCGTATTCACTTATACAAAAAAAAAAAACATTCAAATGAATCGATCCATAGCTTGATCATCAAAAAATTGAAAATTTCTCCTGGAACTCTTAATTTTGACATCTCTTAATATGGTGAGTAATAAAATTGATTTATTTTCGCATTATTAGCAGACATTATATTGAGACATTTTCAGCCGGATGAATCAGATCAGCCAGATATCGTCAGGAGCTGAAATTAAGTGAAAACACGGATTTCATTGGCTATAATTACATTTACATTGCTACAATCACTATAACAATCACTCCATTTCAGCTCCTGACGATATCGGGCTGAGCTGATTCATCTTGCTGAAAATATCTCCATATAATGTCTGTCCATTAGTAATGCTTTGAATTATGAACTGAGCAAAGAAAACAACAAAATATTGACTCGGATGAATTCGCTATTTTTATTCAGCTAAAAAATGGATACAAAAAGTCTTAGAGAAAAGAAATAGGTGTTATATATTCCATCAAAATATGCATTCAATTGGATGATAAGCTGTACCTTCAGTTCGTTCTCACGATCACAATAAATTTAAAATACTATGGTTAAACTTGACTTAGCTACAAATTTATGTACAATTAATCGTATTCATGGCTTGATTCGCGATTGCTGATCAGATTTTCCTTCTCATCATCATCACCATCGGCATTGTGAGCGTTCGATTTGGCATGTGTCTTTGGCACAGCTACCAATGTTGCCGATGACTGAATCATATTTCGATTTTTTAATCCTTGTGTTAAGCCACTTTCATACAATCTACAATTTAAAAGTTGGTAAAATTGATTAAAAAAACATTAAAAATCAATAATCACAATGCTTACATTTCAACTTCATCATCTTGTTCATCGTCGCTGTCTTCAGCAAAGTAAGGGTGGATTGGAACCGGTCGAAATTTGTATGCTGTTAGTGCATAAAATATGTATGTAGCCGATTCTTTGAACATTTCATCAAGCCAAACGTATTGGAAGGGGACAGTTGCCCGCAGCAAATATACAATAATGCGAGTGAAGTCTAAAATAAGAAATATATATTATCTTTATGTGATTCGAATGCTTTTGGTAATCAAATGTTCACTTACAAATGTAACACACGATCATGATGTAAAATTGTCGGAAGAGCCGTAATTTCTTCAAGTTTGTCGCTGCTTTGCCATCTGTCGACGATGCATCCTAAAAATCAATAGACACATCACAAAGATTTCAAACCAAAATGCAAGCTAACGAACAGCATATCAACAACAGCCTACTCACTTGAAGATGTCGAATGGACCATACAACCGGAAATAGAATTGCACCGCAACATATCAAATCCACTAAAATGAATATATTTGTCCAAGTGGCTCGTTCAATGTCACCTTCTTCACTTTCATCAATAATGATTTCAGCTACATTTGCCAAAATTTGCAACGGAATCACAATCATAAATAGCTTTTTATCCTTGTCAGCCAAAATATGTTTTATAAATGTCCAACCAGTGCCAATTAGAACAATGGTAATAAATAGTACGGCACCCTTAAGTCTGTAGAATAATTTTAGGGTTTAGTGAAATTGAAAATTCTTCAAATATTCACAAAAATTTCGACTTACAAATGAGTCACATAGTATAAAATGGCCCAAGCTTCAATGTGTTCACCCTCTTTATCGATGTAATGATAATTGATGGAGTGGAACATCAGCGAAAGTGATTTCAAAAATACCAAAACGCTCATGATATAATGGATCCGGAATACAGTATGTCTGTAATAGTACGAAATTATGTTAAAATTGAATATGCATATGTAATTTCAAGTAAGCCATATCACTCACGTGCTCTTCTTCAGAAGAAATAGCCAAAATAAGCCCGATAAAAAGAAGATGAGTGACATCATGAAATAAAGTTCGGGCAAAGGCATTTCTCCAGCTGATAAAAAGTTACTTTTGTTCGCTTCTTCAATGTTGATCTGCAACAAAGACAAGTGGATGACGTCACACACTAATTTACAATACAACCAAAAACCAATTATACTCACATTAAAATTGAGTGCAAACATGTTTCGCTGATAATTTGGACAGGCGTGAAAGTATAAATTGTAAAGACCTTCCTCGTTTTCGGTTAAAACATACATCACAAACTGAAAATCGATTGTAAATAGACTAATTTATTAAAGTATTCAGCTAAAACAGGCATCAATATATAAAAAAAAAAATTACCGAAAAATTGTAGTAACTGAACCCCAAACCTTCCATTTTGGTGGCGTACATTGGTAATCTGATGTTGTTACACCTGGCATTGGCCGCTTCTTCATATTGACTCGGTTCGGCTGCATATACAAAATGAATGGTATTAACTGGTAATTTACAAACAAAAAAAATTAACTAACCAGATCGTTTGCGACGTTGACTCTCCAACAACATGTTTGCATACAAATTGGATTCATCTCGTTTTTGTGCAAGATTTGGCAACTGAGTTCGATCCTTGTAGATATGAATGTTATGCCAATCTTTTGAACAATTTACAGTCACTCTGCATAAAATAAAACACTTTAACAATGGAACAAACAAAACAAATCGAAAAAAGCATATCTTACTGTTTATTTTTGAGATCCATCGACAGATAAGCGATTGGACCGTTGTGTTGCATTGAAGCTGGTTCCTCAAGAATGCATTTATCCTGATGATTATCAATAAATGGATTCATTGCATCGCTTCTCGTCTTGTCTAAGGTCAAACCGAACTGAAAACCATACAAGAAAAAAAAACATGATTAAAATCGAATATTTGATTGAAGAATGTTTTATTTCCAATCGTACCATTTCACCTTCACGTCCATCGTCTACGCGAAAATTATATAGATTCACATCTAATGTACCACCATTAAAGAATCCGAATGTGCTAAGTGAAATATATCTGCGAACGTCACCCTTAAAATTAAAAGAAAAAAGCAATTCGATTGAAATAAATGTAAATATTTATCGCGTAATTAGCACAAAATGAACCAATTTGAAAAGATTATCGATTATTTCGAGCGACTAATTGACCTTAACGTTGTATCGTTAAAGTCATTTCATGTTCAATAAAAAAAAAAGTTTTGATTTACCTCAATTTCCAAATGATGTTTGCGTCCAACACAAAACTGCAAGGTTGCAGCTATTAAAAATGCAATTTTTAACAACATCTTCGTTAATTCAATCCCCAACAATTGTGAATGTTTTGTATAAGTGCGTGTTTGTTTTATTATGAAAACGATATCAGTGCATGAAATCTTTTATTTTTCGAAAATAACATTATTTTTAGGTTATCTGTATCATTACTGTTTCTATTAAAACAAATAGAAATAAACTTAATCTCAATCCAAGAAAGCAAATTTCTTTTCAATAAAACAGATACGTATATTTATTTTCACTGTTTTCCTCTACATACTTGACTTTTACTTACGTTGACAGTCAATCGTGTGGTGTATACACTCGCACTCACACATACACATAGTTTGACAGTTCGACTATCGCTTATTAGTGTCGCCACAAGTGCTATAAAAGTCGAGAATGTGTACGAGTGACGACACACAGTCAATACATTCAATTTTTACATAAAATTTGATAGCCGTTGCTTCCGCAAAAAAAAATGAAAAGAAAAACCACAAATGATATATTCATTTATTCATAATTTATTATTTATATGTATTTTTTAACATTATAATATTTCATACAGTATATTTATATCTTTTTTTGGTTGATTTTTCGCAATTTTTTTTATCTGTAACTGGCGGAAACGAATACACTTTTCATTTGTATTTTTTTTACATTTAGATTGATTGAAAGTAATAATACAATTTTTCAAATAATTTATATGTAGATAATAATTCAAAATCTATTCCTGCTTTTGCTGCGTTGAACAGAATCTTAGAGTCATTAAACTAAAACCTCTGAACATTTTGACTATTTGAAATAAAAACTTTTTCTTTGTGTTTGACTATTTCATGATAAATATCTATTTGTATTAAACAACTGAGAATTTCAATTTTCAATTTTCATCTGCTCTAGTTATAATAGTGTTAGGTTTTGTTTCTCTGTATTTGACTAAACCTACATTTAAATTATATTTCATTTTCTCAAAGTCATAATATATGTTTTTCTTTTTGAAAATAGTATATTCCGTAGATTTTTTTCCATTAGCAATAGTCAGGTATGATGCTTTTTTGGATTTGATATTTATCATTTGTAAATTAAAAACGTCAAATAAAATATCGTAACTGCAAATGCATTAACCAACTGATTTATATGCCAGCATTCTATATTTTGTAAATATATATATTCGTTTGAACGCCACTAACAACATCATTTTGCAAATGTTTTTTTCTTTAGTTTTTTTTTCTTTTGTCATAATAATATTATTGTTCTCATTTTGCTATACGATTTCTGTTTAAGTTTGTTCTTCAGGCATTACATTTATCTCAATTTAATCATAAATATATTCAGTCAGCAATAAAATTTAAATGGGAAATTTACGTAATATGTATATATTTTTGTTTGTTAAACTTATTGTGCTAAAATAACATTTATACTTTCAAAATCAATGAATATGTATTGCATTATTGCGTTTAATTTTTATTCGAAATATTCTTTTGCTTTTGATAAAACGAATAATAATAAACTTTTCCATTCGAATCACCAATCAATATCAACGGAAATACACTTAAAATGCATCGTGAATGATATGAATCTTGCGATTCGATTAAATCAAAGGGGAGTAAATTCACATTTTTCGTTTTTCAGACAAATGGCAAACTTGAAATTAAAGAAAAAACTTTGGACTTTAAGCAGTTATACATTTAATTTGGTTTTCGATTTATAATAAAACAAAATCTAATTTTGTTTTGTGTGAGAATATTTGTTTGGTGTTATCTAAACAGCACCGATTCCAATCAGCTCTTTACTCTTTTAATTAAAAACCATTTATTTTCGAATAAAAACAGACTTTTTTTTCATTCAATCAATCTAAATTGTTCGTTCATTTCACGGACCTTTAAAACCTTGTACTCCTTTGTTTCTTTAGCAACCATGGCATTAGCTACTCACCTTTATTCTCTTAAATAATAATGAACAACTATTTATAATAATGAATATATTGGTATTGTGACATCTATTGCAATCGGTTTTAATGTTGCTGTTGGTTTTTAGGGTGGAACTCTCTTTGGTTTGAAAGGTTTATTTCCAAAATATTTCCAACACGTCAATTATTAACAGAGGATGCATTGTGCTATAATTATGATATAGCCTATTATCACATCATTTAAAATTAAATTGTTCATGAAACTCAGAAACAGAAAAGGAGAATGTACAGAAGCTTAGCTCTAAGTTCTGTATACTTGCATATTTTGTTGTTGCTGTTGTTGTTTTTATGTTATATTTAGTATTACTTGATTATTCAATATTTGCAACATGATTAGGAGCATTTTATGTTTGTTTTCTTTGCGTGTATGTGAATTCTCTAAATTATCTATTTCGTGTATTATTTTTGCATTCGTGTGCCGTTTTTACTTGCATTTTCCTGATTTATTTTTTTTATAACTATTATTATTGTTACACAAGCTTTTCGTTTGATTTCATACATTGCACGCTAGCTTTGGTTCATCATTCGATTCTATTCCGTTTTTATTTCTTCTCGTGATATGAACGTTTTTTTTTGTGATGCTCTTAATAAATTGCTATTATTAAATAACTTTGTTATTTTTTTTTTTTTTTGGTTTTTCTTGCTGCTTTTGTTTTAGACTATTATGATTGTGATAGAGAATTCATGGTCATGGTATTTATAATAATGAATGCCAGGTGGTTTTCATTAACCAATTTAGTTTGAGTCTGAATCAGAATCACTACCACCCTCAGGCACCGTTGGTGGCACCTTTTTCTCTTCTGGCACCGTTTCTGGCGTTTCCTTTTTCGTATAAGTTGCCGCAAGATACGCATTTTGTTCTTGGCCCTGGGTGTATTCGATACCAACCCTATTTTTGGAGAGAAAAGAATTGATCAGTCAGTTTTAGTGGGAAAATCAAATCAATTTAATTTATTTCGCATAGCTGTACGTACTGGTATTCATAACGGGATAAATATCGAACGTATTTCTCTGGTGGATCGTCACTGTCTGAATCTTGAACGCTAACCGAACGAATTGTTGTGTGTGACACAACTGTTTGTGGCATTGTATACTCTACAAAACAATGTTCGGCCAATTTATCGGGTATTTGATCATAGCTCGTTAACGCCATACGAACAACCATTTGGTGTGTAGTATATGCACCTTGAAAAAGTTGAAAAAATGATGAATCTCTCTTGATTTTCGATAAATCGAATGGAATTTTTTCAAAATTCAATTTACCTTGACCATCTTTTGGTAGTTTTGGGCATCTCCACACAATAGAACGATGATGATGTTCATATTTGGCTTGTCCTGATGTTACTTCGATTAATGATTCTTGCAATTGGTCTACGGTTCCCAAAATTCGTTCGATACCTTTGATTTTTCCAGTTCGACGATGTGCCGATTTTACTGAACCATATCTAATGAAAAGCACGCAAATTTTGGATTCATTTTTCTTTTGATTGTTTCTCCTTTTTTTTTTAAATACGTTACCTAAAATGTTTTTCTACGCGGAACAAATAAATCCAACATTCTGGTATTGGGAATCGTATCGAGACATCTTCGCAAGGAATTTGGCCCAGTTTTCTTGATGTAACGCCAGGAACAAGAACGTCAACACGTAGCTCAACCTGAACAAAGCCGAATTGATAAGTTTAAATATTAAATATTTGAAAGTAGAAAGTTCATTAAAATTACTTACTCTTTTGCCAGTGACACACCATACAGCTTTCACTTGCAACGGCATTTCGCGATTTTTCGGTGGTCGAACACGGAAACGCATTAATTCGATATAACAAGCGTCTGGCGGTTGGAATCGAATCAAACGGCTGCGTTCGTATTCATTTTGTTGAACGCATGCATGAAACTCAACCCCTTCCAATCGAATCCATTCTTCGGTGGCAACCGGTATAATATCATGTCGACCAACAACTTCTTTACCTTGTCGCCACATATCATTCACACCCAATTCAATGGTTGGCATACCATTTAAAAATGCCAAAAAGAATAAACGAACCCGAGCTATTTGACGTGTTATGGTTCCGTCGATGGTTTGTTCTGCATAAAATTCATCGACGGCCGTCACTTGAACTTCTTCGAATTTATAGGTGAGTGCACGATCACGATGTACATTGAATTTAAAAAATTGCTCTTCCACTAGTACTGAAAATTGTTTAACATCTTCATAGTTTGCGCTACCGATTTTAAATAGTTCGCTGACATGGGGATGATGTTCAACGGGTAAACCTAATTTCTTCAAATCACTGCCAAACTCCTTAACACCTTGATAATCGCCTTGAATTGCATAAGCAGCAAATTGGCTCAGTTTATTTGTAATTCGTTCGGCTTTTGTGAAACAAAGAAAAATACACAAGCAATTAATATTTTTCTTATTAAAATACCGATTCGATGTTTGATTATACCTTTGGTCACTTGTCCGGGTCTGACACCAGGCCGTTCTTTGTACAAAATGTATTGCAATTTTATCGTGAATATTTTACCAAATTGATCGAATGGTTGTGCACTGATATCACTGACTGAATAACATCCTTGCAGTGGAAGCTCTTGAAATGGTTCTTTATCCTTGGCGGTATTGAACATTTGAATGACTGGCGTATCATTTTGGAAGATCATACGCACAAAAACTTTCTTCCAAAATCGTTGAGCTGTGAATTTCTTTTTATTTGGCTGTCGCAAAAACATCTCCCAACCGCTGCCCGTGTACGTGATGCGTGGAAAATCTTCCAGCGGCTGCGATACATCGTCATCGAATAGTGGTGTTGATGGTGATTCCTGTGACTCAGTTCGGTGCATTTTATTTTCATCCGACAACGGTAAACTGCGTTCACTTCGATCTGATGAGGAGCGAAGAAAGGTTTGTGGTTCGATTTAAATTTGAAAACAATATCAGTAAAATGTATTCATTACCTTCAGCATAAATAGAGCTGCCTTGAGATCCACGTGATTGTGGTGGTACCAAACCTGTCTTCGTTGTTTCATCCTACACAAATTAAATTTCGTTAAATTATTGACATTTTTAATGGGTGGCAAAAAAAACAAAACTTACTTCAGGTGGTGCTTGCATTGCTAAAAATGAGTCAAAACCTTCATCGGCATCGAAACCAGATGATTCGCCGGGTGTAACAAAATCATTAGCTCCCCAAGCTGCAAATAAATTAAAACGTTAAATTTCTTTCTAAGTCCATCGAATCAGTTGAATTTACCATCGCTTGGAGCCGGTGATTTGTAACCGCTTGAAACTCCAAAGCCGTCGAGTAATCCGTCATCCTTTTTCACTGAATCGAATTTTGCTGCGAACGCATCGAATTCATCATTTTGTGGGAAATCCGTTTGAGCTGGTTGTACAATCTGTTGTGGAGTGACCGCACTTTCAGGCGAACCGAATGGATTCGACGCAGGCGATACATCATACGCTGATGTTTCATTTATGTACGTATTGATTATGTCTTGTTTTGCACTGTTCAACTGATGATCAACCGGTGTTTGGCCTCGATCCAAGTACTGTGCATCCGGACCGGGTGAATAGAATGGCGTTGAAATTCCTGGTGATCGATTTGATGAATCAACAGCACTGCTATTATCTGAAATTGATTCCGATTTATCGATATCATGCACACCATTGTATGGTTCATCGTTAATTTTTATCGATGAAATCGGTGTGCTATCAACTTGTTCAGGTTGTTTATTCTCTATGACATGCGGAATATCTTCAACCGAAGGTGGATTTGGTATTGGTTTTGCGACTGGTTCAATAACAGGTGGTTTGGGTACAGCCGGTGGTGCAGGCCGCTGAGGCGGTGCGGCTGGTCTTTGTGGCGGTGCTGGCCGAGCTGGTGGAGGTGCTGGTGTCGCATTTACAATTGGCGCAACGGGAATCGGAGCGCTAATTGGTGCGACACTAATAACGGCAGCAACTGGAGATGGAGGAATCGGCGCTGCATTTGTTATCACTGCGGTTGCTAAATTCGACTGAATTGGTTGAATGTTGCTCATCATCAATATATCAGACATAAGTAGATCGGGTTTTTGTGGTTCCGCTTTTGGTGGTGAAAATAAACTCAAAATATCTTGATTTGATTTTGGTACTTGTGGTTTTGGCGCTGTATTCGTTCCAAAATCAAACAAATCGGCTTCATTGTCTGGTTGCGCTGGCACATCTACAACCTTTTGCTCGAGTGGCGATGGCCGAGGCGGTACTGGCCGTACTGGTGGCATCTTTTGAGCAACTTCAAAAGCAGGTTCATCGTCAACATCAGCAAATGGATTATCATTTCGCAAAATGCTGCTATTGTCTGATTCTAAAATATCGTCCATAAGTAGATTTGCAGTGTCAGGCGTTGGACTTGGAGTATGCAAATCACGCATTGAAACCGGTGACGGTGTTCTTGTTTTGGGAATTCGATCAAGCAAATGAGTGCTAGTTTGATCTAAATGATCGGCAACCGATGAAATTAAATCTTGAGTTGTTGGATTTGGTGGCGTTGGTCGTGGCGGTGGTTTTTTCACACCATCAACCGGTTCATTCATAACGAATGGCGTTTGTGTTGGTTCCAAAAGAGTTTGAACATGATCTTCGTCCTCGGTGATAGTCGTACCAAAAAAGCTCATCGCCTTATCGACCGCTGTTGACTCAGTCACATTTGGCACGTCTGCAATATTAAGCACGGTAGTCGGTTCAACGGCATCAAATGCAAATGGATTAATAGCCTCGCTTAAAAATGGATTATCGGTATCTTCTGCTTCATCGGCTGGTTCGTTACTCAATAAAAATGGATTTGGTGTTGCTGCTGCTGCCGGTTCATTTGTTGGCTCAGCTTCGTCGTCAAATAGAAATGGATTCGACATTTTGATTTGTTTTTTTCTTCTTTTATTTGGTTGTTTCGATTTAGTCTTATTACTTGTGAATCAATTCAGATTCGAGAATTTTAATTTCGGCTTGTCCGGGTGCGATATTGCTTGCAAATGAGGTGTCAAATGGATCGATGTCGTCAAATGAGTCTTCAACGGGCAAAGTAATTTGTGGCGTTAAAACTTTACCGCCCAAACCAAGTTCCTGTGAGTCAGAGTTAATGTCTAAGACGTTGGTTGTTTCGGTGCTTTTAACGGTGTCAATGAATTCGTTTTCAATGAGTTTCAATTCGGCTTTGCCGGGTAAAAGAAGTGCAGATGCGTTACTTGTATCAAATGGGTCTTCGACCGCAAATTCTTCGTCTTGATTGACTGCAGATGTGGCTGGTGTTAGTACTTTAATGTCAATAGTTGCTTCGCCCACACTCAATAGGTCTGGCTTTTGATTCGGTGTGATGGCACGCGGATCAAAATCCGAATCACTGATATCGGCTGCTTCGTTAACGTCTTCAATCGATTTATCCGTATAGTATGGAGTCACTGGTTTTTTCTTTCCTTCACCGTTATTTATATTCAATGTGTTGCTCACATCAAACACCACCGATTTGGTTTGATGATGTTGATTGATGTTCAAACAAAGCGATGATTTGCGTTCGGCTGTGCTTATTTGTGTTTGTGGTTGAGCGACTTTTTCGTCGCTTCTCGGATCAAAATCTGGATCACTCAATGAATGCTTTATGCCACTGTCACTCAATAGTTCTTTTTCTAAAAATTTAATTTCCGTTTCTTTTGGTTGTACAAGTTCACTTATCGTTGATGTATCGAACGGATCGATTTCCTTTTCAATCGATTCACTTGCGCTAATTACAGGAACGTGCGATAAATCGGTCAAATCACTTGTGCTGCCGCTCAATAAATCTTTTTGTTTAACCGCTAGACTTGATTGATAAATCGGTTCAACTTTAGCAATCGAATCGGAATTGGTTGGCTCTTCACCGGCACGTGGATCGAAATCGTCGTCGTCGATACTTTTTTCACGTACAACTGTTGCAACAAATTGAGTATCAAATGGATCTACGTCTTCGTCTTCACCAATATCTTCGTCATAAACATCAACAATGCCCAATTCGGCTTGTTCTTCAAATTCGGACTTCCAATCTCCTTGTTCGACGGGTATTGGTTCAAAAACAAGTGCGCTTGCATCAACTACAATCACATCAGATTTTGGTTTGGTCAATGACTCAGTGGCCAAATCATCAAATTCGTCACGTTCGGCCTCTCGACGTAACCGTTCCGCTTCTTTTTCTTCTTCTTGTTTTTTCTTCAAAAATTCCAAATATCGTGTATCCAAATGGCCCAAATCAATTGGAGCATCGGCAATCACATCACTTGGATCATCTAATAATGTGAGTACTGGTTTTTCTTCAGTTTCTTCTGGTTTCAATACTTCAGCAATAATATCTTCTTCGATTGATTCTTTATCTTGATCAAAACTTGAGAGTAATAAATTTTGTGGTCCTCTTCGTGGTCGTTTCAATGCTTCCTTATTCAATGAAACATTTTCAACGCGTCCCGTTAAAACTTCAACGGCCGAACCAATGTTAACAATTTTCTTACCACGTTTTGATACTTCCGGTCCTTTGATAACTTTTTCAGCGAAATTTGTATCAAATGGATCGGGACCGAGGTCAGTTTCTTCGGGTGATTCCGGAACGTAGGCAAGTGGTAAATTTTCTAATTCATCGATATAATTGGTATCGAATATATCATCCGCTTCCTCTGACTCACTTTCCGACTCGGAGAGTTCAACAACGGCCTCTTTGAGTGCCGCTAATTTACGTTGCTCCTCTAATTCTTCTTCGGTTAATGTTGGCTTATTTTCTTCTTGTTCGTCTTGCGGTTTCTGCTCGTTTTCCGGTTGTTTTGCCGCTGGCTTTGGTTTTGGCGGTGCAACTTTTTGGAAGAACGATTTCTCTTTAATACGATTTAAATCACCTTGAGTCTTCTTAAGAATCGAATCGATGCCACTTGTTAGTTGTGTAAACTTTGACCATTCGTCGTCATCGGTTTTTGGTTTGGATGTTGAAGCTGATGGTTGGGATTGAGCTTGTTGTTGTTGCTGGTGCAGTTGGTGTTGCTCCTCTTGATGAGTTTGCTCTTGTTTTTCAGCTTCTTCCTGTTCGGCAAGTTGTTTGGCCCTTTGCTCTCGCTTGAATTGCTCGAGTTCCTCCTCGGTAAAAAGTTCTTGATTCTTTTTTGACTTTTTATTCTTCTTCTTTTTTAATCCCTTTGGTAGTTTAAGCATTATCTATTTTAGCCGAGACATTGAACCATCTATTTTAAATAAAAATATATTTAAATTAAAATAATTTACATTCAAATGACGCAAATAAATTTTCTATAAAAAGAACGACACGATTTTGACAGCGAATAACGTGCAAAACAGCATGCAAATCAATTCTATTACTTATGAGTTATGTATTGAATTCATTTGACGAACACGGAAAGTGCATGACATTAACCAATTGCCAGTTATTTATGGATGGCGCACACAAATTACCCTTCCGCAGCTGAACAATTTTGTTTGAAGTGATTTCAATTATTTATTGCCTAATGGGATTGCTCACTTCGTTTTTCTATTCAATCGAACCCAGCTTCACGCACAATTAAACGGAGTGCAATGAGGTATATTTATTTTTTTAAACGTTATCTATTTTTCTTCAATCTCTGCACAATATAAATGATTTTTCAATAGATCAAGATGTGATTATTGAGTCTCATAAGAAATAGAGAAAAGAAGTAACCTTGAAATGTGTGCCAATAAAGAATGTTGTGTTATGCAATAAACTTCAAAATAAATATGCCATTTTCAGCAAAGAAAACAAAAACTTCTTATAGATACAACTTCCACAAAAATAAAAAAACAAATAACAACGACATACGTTTTGTGGGACATATAATTTGGATTCGAATTAAATTTTGTCCAATTACATTTTCACGCACACATATACAAACGCTCACACTCGTTCATTCATAGGATACTGAATATGGTGTATCATGTAGTGAAAAGCAATGAAAGGTGTCAATGGCGAATATAAAAATAATAGGTGAGATTTTCACTATTCTCTATGGTTTTCCCTCTCACACAAATACACGCACACACGTCACAAAAAACGGGAAATTTTGTTGAATGGCATTTTCTACGAGTAATTTTTTTTTGGATATAAATCAGTTTATTTGCTGCAGATTCTAATTTTTTAAATGCATTGAATAAGAATCTCTCTTACCGAAAGCGTACATTTCAATCGATTATTCACGGTATATACGGAGCACTTTATGATTTATGAAAATCGTCTATCGATTTTATTCTTCGTTCTTTTTTTCTTCTTCTTGGTATTCAACTCAACCACCAAAGATGGCCATACACATTAAATATTATACCACCCTCCTCTTTGAACGAAATCACTTCTGTTCGTGTGCCTCTCCTTTTTCAAAGCACAAAAATTTAACAATTCCAACTAAATTTCACATGAAATATCGGAACGTTTTTAATTATTGATTTTTTTTTTCATTAGCTTTTTGCGAAAATGGAATATCGCATTCGTTCCCTTACATTAATTTCCAGTTACTAGAATAAATCACACACATACATTACAATGAGTAAAAAAATTGTTTGGACATTGAAGAAGAAGAAAAAAAAAAACATTCATTCCAACTAAAAGAATATTTGAAACTTACGTCTCTTCACGCAAACACTTGTTTTTATTACGCAAATTTTGATAAAAAAATTTCCGGTGTGCATCAATTACCAAATGCAATGAAAAAAGAAATGTTCACAAATTTGATGATTCGGAAATGAGCAAAAATTTCGATTTCACTTTGTGTGTTGGTTGTACTGACGAAAAATCACAAATCCATCGATACTTTCTGCCTTCGCTACTCGCTTCGAGATACAACTGATACTGTGTGATGTAACAGAATGGGTCGAATGGATAAATCTTTGGAAAGGCGTCTGTGTATTAGAATGAAACAAAATCATTGCAAGGGTTGAGAATTGGTGAGATTGCGCACATCCATACCATGGTGAACAATCCATCATACACAGTACGACCACATTGTGTTTTTCCTTGGAAATGTGCTATGATTTTAAATGAACGTATATTCAATTTAAGAATTTCTTAATTTGTTAATTTGTTTAATTTGTGATGGCTAGATGATTTTTATCAATTCAAATTAAATTCGATAAGAATCAAGATTTAACCAATCTATTAACCTCTTAATTTATTGATTAGTCACATAAGGGGAAGTGAGACTTGCGCCTGTTGGTACAAGACAAGCATGCGTAATAATGTGACGTAGGCCAATTGTCCGCTCAAGGGGAATAGGTGTCATTTCAGTGTTGTTTTTATACACACCGAATTGAATGCACTGCATCGGTTAAATTGAAACACACATGTTGTACTTTTATATCATCAAATTTATATATTATTATGAAATCATTTGGTGCAAGTAAGATGTTTAAGTAACAAGTGTGTATTAAAATGTGTTCCCAAATGCCCAAAAATTAATTGTGGACCTTGCTGTATTGAATTCATTATTTCTGAAATGGATCACGTTGCACGTTTTTGTCTAGGTCAGCATCTGAACCTGGATCAACTTGCGAAAGTTGAGCGAATCCTTCATCATCCACAAAGCAAATTTCCAATTCATTTGGATCGGATAAAATGATGACACGAACGGTTGCCTTTCCAGGTTCTGCGAACCAAATAAATTGCTTGAAGTACTTAGAGATTTTTACAATTATTCTATATGGAATTGGCGAACGTCTCTTTTCTCTTTGATTTTGTATGCGATTAAAATAAGGAACTCTGGAGGTGAGCGAAATGTTTCAAACAATTTGATGACCCTTTTGAGATAATTCTGTGTAGGTGAATCAATGAATAAAGACATGTTGCAATCGGTAGCTGCTATTTATGAATATGACTGGTATATACGTGGTGCGCCATAATAACTGTCGCTCTTACTTTTGGTAAAAAACGATCAATTTTAAGCCAAATCACTTTTTTTAACTTCATTGTATGATTTAAATTAGTATCGAACACGACTGTATGTTCGGTCTTTTCTTTTGTAAATCTTGTTCAAAATCTTGAAGAACACTTTGAACAAAAAAAAGTCTATAACGACACGAACATAATATTGCACATGAGCAGATTGCCAAGGGTAAATAGTATATATTTTTTCAAATAAATACCAAAGAATAATAACAGAACTTTTAGTAACGAAAAAAAAAATTCGTGTAAATCGAACATGTATAGACTTGAAAGGAATTTTGTTTTGAAGACATGCAACAAATAACTATTCCTTCGGCACATCTGTTTTCTTTTAAATACGTTGTTTTTAATCTTATTTTCTCATCAACAGTATTGTAATTTTTAAATTTTTTGATCTATACTTGAATTTAAAGAAAATTATCGTATTTTGGTAGTTATTTGCACAGTTTTATGTAATGATGGAAATTTTTCCATTTAATGGAAATATTTCGCCGAACGTGTATTTGCACAGTTTAATGAAGAATTGAAAATATTTATTTTACTTCAGCTGGTTCGAAATTTAAGAGTATATATATTGAGATCTTGCGAAGATAAATTCAGTTTAATCATTTTTCGACAAGAAGAATCAAGAAATTATTCAAAATGGTGTCATTTGTTCGTTGTATTGTTATCTTTGCCATTATTTGCTTAGCTTTTTACATATCGTAAATATATTTTCTAAATAAATACTCACCTAAGTACTACATCATTCATCCAACTAAAGTTACATTTATTTTTTAGGCACGCAGAAGCAGGCAATAACAATAAAAAGTGCGTTCAATAGTTTGTTTTTGAAAAATAAATAATCTATACATTTTCTATTTTTTTTTTTTTTCAGAAAATGCGCTGCTCCAGAATCAAGTAGCATTCCATCAATTGTATACGGAATGACAGCACCAGAGGTTCCTGCACATCTTAAGAAGTTAGTGAAGGAACAAAAAAAAGCAGAGGCAGTAAGAAAGCAACAAATTCAAAAAGAGATAGAAGCAGCCATTGCTGAAAATATGGCTTTGAAAGCAGCTTTACGTTCACTTGGCGCTAACGTATAATAAATTGAATGTTGTAAATAACCAATGGGAGGATGTGAAGACTTCAAGTCTCTTTGAGCCGACGGTGGCGCCCCGAATTTCAAAGGGGACGTCAATGTAATTTCACAACTCAAATCGAAACTAAACAGCGCGCCAATTTTAAAATTTGCTGTCATTTCCTCCCATTGTAAATAACATTTCAATTTAAAACTCAGCATCATGAGTCGTCCACCAATCTATAATGTTTCTTTCTTTTGTCAATTATAAATATTATTATTGAATAGAAAGTGGCCAATATAATCGGCAGTTTGTAGTTTCAATAAATGACTTTAATAAAATGAAACATTAAAAAATATGTATATCTTTTAATAAAGAAAGCTACTATATTTCATATCTATTTTCATGAGTGCGTGCACTTTTAATGGCAATTTGGATCCAGTAAGTAACTTCTTTTTTCAGGTATGTTTTCCTTTCGTTTTAAGCTCAATTATAATTTAATCCATAGATCGCACTTATGCTAGATTGTCGAAATTTTGTCTCATTACGTTTGATTGTATAAAGAGAACGGAAAAGCTGAAATCAGCATTTTATACAACAAGTACAAGGGCGTAAATGAATACACTGTTTGGAGCAATAAAAATTTATAGAATGTACAAAAAGAATAAATTTGTGATCATCATTTATCACAGTTGACTAAAATATTTGAATAATAAATATTGAGAAGCCAATGCATGAGACATGCGCAAAAAAATATGTTATCTACTACAAAAACTAAAAAGCAGACAATATATTGAGCTGACTATACATTTGAAATGAGACGAAATAGCAAGCTATTTGGGACCTTTCGATTCTGTTGACAACAAAAATGTTGTTGCCCCTACACAACGTGTGACTTCAAATATAGAGTTCCATTTTAATATTTTAGATGTCTATACTGTCAATATGTCAATATTCAATTTATTATACGTTAGCACCCAGTTTACGTAAAGCTGCTTTCAAAGCCTCATTTTGAGCAACGGCTGCATCCAATTCTTTTTGAATTTGTTGCTTTCTTTCTGCCTCTGATTTTTAATGTTCCTTCACTAACTTCTTAAGATGTTCAAGAACCTCTAGTGCTGTCATTCCGAACACAATTGATGGATTGCTACTTCATTCTGAAACAGCACATTTTTTCTAATAAAAAAAATGAAAGATGTATAGATTATTCATTTTGCAAAAACAAATTATTGAACGCTCCATTCCATCATTACACAAACAATGTAAATAAATAATACGATAATTTTCTTTGAACTCAAGTATAGTCAAAAAAATGACAATACTGTTGATGAGAAAATAAGGTTTAAAACAACGTATTTAAAAGAAACACATATGCCGAAGGAATAGTTATTTGGTGCATGTCTTCAAAACAAAATTCCTTTCAAATTTATACATGATTTGGCTGAAAATTTAGCGATTTTTTAACAAAAAGTAAAAGCGACTTTTTGGAAGAACGATTGCTCTTTAACACGATTTAAATCAACTTGAGTCTTCTTAAGAATCGAATCGATGCCACTTGTTAGTTGTGTAAGCTTTGAACATTCGTCGTCATCGGTTTTTGGTTTGGATGTTGAAGCTGATGGTCGGGATTGAGTTTGTTGGTGTTGCTCCTCTTGATGAGTTTGCTCTTGTTTTTCAGCTTCTTCCTGTTCGGCAAGTTTGGTAGTTTAAGCATTATCTATTTTAGCCGAGACATTGAACCATCTAATTTAAACAAAAATATATTTTAGAGGAAGTGAGCCTGTTGGCACAAGACATGCATGCGTAATCATGTGACGTAGACCAATTGTCCGCTCAAGGGGAATATGTGTCATACAGTCACTGAATGAATTTCAGTGTTGTTTTAATACACACCTAATTTAATGCACTGCATCGGTTAAATTGAAACACACATGTTGTACTTTTATATCATCAAATTTATATATTATAAAATCATTTGGTGCAAGTAAAATGGTTAAGTAACAAGTGTGTATTAAAATGTGTTCCCAAATGCCCAAAAAGTAATTATAGGCCTAATATTATCGCTGTATTGAATTCATTTTTTCTGGAATGGATCACGTTGCACGTTTTTGTCTAGGTCAGCATCTGAACCTGGATCAACTTGCGAAAGTTGAGCGAATCCTTCTTCATCCACAAAGCAAATTTCCAATTCATTTGGATCGGATAAAATGATGACACGAACGGTTGCCTTTCCAGGTGTATCTAATGAAGTCAATGGATGTATAACTTTTGCATTGCGTTTCGTGACCTCTTCGCTCAGTTTTGTTTGTTCTTCGAATGCTATGGCAAATGCGATCCGCCCAAAAGCTGTTTTACGATCAATTTTTTCATCTGAAATTGATTCGGAAATTGCGATTTATACGAATAAAAAAGAATTATTACGTAAACAAATTCAATTTCTCACCAATCTTCTTGAAGATCAATTTCGTTTGATCGCCGTCATATTTCAAGGCGAGCTCGTTGTCACTTTGATTTAGCAATTTCATATTCAACAAATCGGTCCAATACGATTGCGTCTTTTGTAAATCGTTCGAATTGATGATTACGCTTTGAACTGGATCGCCAGAGCTTTGTGCATCGGTCACATAGAACTTATATCCATCCGGTGATTTTAAGAGATAAACCTCATTTTCAACGGTGAATGAATAGTTTTGCTTTTTGACACGATCAACAATACCATTTGCCTTAATGGCAATACCACCGAAATCATTTCCTATAACGTGTAAAAGAGTTTCAGAAATATGGTCGCTTAAAAAAAATGTCAGATCTCTTACCCAAATCATAGCTGGTAACTCCGTAATTGTATGTGAGTTCAACGACAAAATGGTTTGACTCTGGTCCGTAGCCTATCATCGTTTTGCTCCAGCGATTATCGTATGGCCTAGCAATGAATATGCATCAAATACCAGAAATGTGCATCACATATTTATATTTACCCATTGCACGAAGCAGCACAGCCTTCTGTAAATTCTTCGTGACGTAAAACCTGTACAAAGAAATCGACAAAGAGAACCGGTATTGAAATTGCCGTCAGAAAACAAACGTTGTCTTAAAGTAAGACTCTCAATTTAATTCACTTTTTCAGGATGACTTTACACAATTTATTACCAGTCACTTTGATTCGTGATTGACAATCACCTTTAATTATAAACATTATAGTATAACATCACTAAAAAGAACAAACATTCAATAAATGGTATCAACGTTTTTATCTCACTGACGTACAAAAGCGCTTAAGTTTCAGCGCCGAAAACCCATGATCCATAAACTGATGTTTCTCTTATGCGAAACCATTTAAAATCAATTGCCATGACTTAATTTAAATGATTGTTACCTGCATCCCGAGAATGTTTCGGAAGAAATTGATGTTTGCACCACGATCACCAATTTTTAAAACAAAATGCAAAGCACGCGCTGAAACCATGTTTATAACTTGAGAGAATAAAAACAAAAACAAATAAACAAAAAGATTTTAGAATTCCCACAATAAATGTGCGATAAATAAAGCAATTGAATGAATGTGTGGTCTGTGCAAATTAACGACAGCTACTGATTGACATTTAATCGCTCAGTACGAACATCGTACAGCGTAGAAACTGGTTGTTTTGTACACGTATGTGTGTTGTGTATGCATACTATTAAAGCATTGATAGCGATACACGGTTTGAGAAGATACACCTATAATAGTGTTGCCAGAAACGTTTACCAATTGTTGATTCAATTTAATTTTAAATTTCCACTCACGATAAGAACTCAAATGTCGTTGGTAAAATTCGCGCACAACGTAATCGGCATAACAAATACGCTGGTGTCTATTTCTTTTTCGTTTAGTAAAAAAAATTGTTTTGATTGTAGTACTATACTAAGAATCGCATATGATAATCAGAAAATTGGTCATATTTTGACCATGTGAGCGTTATTTTGAGAACAGTGAATATTTTTTTGGTTACTTTTTTTCCTTTCTTATGCGTTTTTTTCATCGGAACATTGAACGCATCTCAAATGAATTTCACCAACTGCTGAAACATTTAACGACAAACCCTATCACGAATGTGAACGAGAATTCATTTAAAATGGTTCAAAAGTCAGATGCAATATAAATAGTTATGCTAACTTTATGTTGCCAAATTGTGTTAAAATAAGCAATGTCATTAATTTACTTGTGTTTCAAATTATTCAGAGAGAATTATCGGTAAGTGAAGGTTATTTTGCGCATTTAACAATAGAGTGCGGTATGCAAACATTTGCCACAGGTTCTTTTCTTCATTTTTGTCGCTGACAGATAATTTGGCGCCATTCACATTTTTACTTGTGACAATACAATATCCGAATTCTAAATAATATGGCTAAATATATAATAGATAAAATGTTTTTAAATGAACCAAAATTGAGCTTTACATATAACCTAACATTCAACATAATCAACAGACCAAAACAATCGGCTAGGCAATCGGTAAGTTCAGTGCTAGTGTAACGAAAATTTCTATGGGTTTTTATCTCAATCAAAACACTGTAAATATTCGCAAAATATGCATTGTACATGTTCAATTGATGTGCAGCCATATTGGAACTTTTTTTGCGAATGTTCTCGTAACATATGAATCCTGTGTTCTATATTACTTATCATTTGCTTTCAATTTATTCCACTTTTATGATTTAAATTAATCCCATTTCAGCCTAATATATTTAGTTCAACCACTATAAATGATATGGTATTGTCTATAATTTGAATACAAGTGCACAATTTTCCATTTGACTACCTAATTTAATCGTTTTTTCATTTATTTTCTCAGAATGGTAGACAGCAATTTTTCTCTGCTAACACTGTAAGTTCGTAGACAAAGTGTACAATATTAGTTCTAAACTAATTTACTGTTTTCTATAGTCATCCATTCTAAAAAGTACAACAAATTCAGAACCATCAATGGCAGATGATTCCATTGCAAACACCGGTTTACATTCAGAAAGGCCGTCTACAACCACTTCACGGCGTCGTAAGAATCAAAGCGGAGATAATGTATGATTTTTTAATGAAATGTCAAGCGAATTCACTCTCTGATAAATCTAATTTAATCGTTTTTCCATTTATTTTCTCAGAATGGTAGACAGCAATTTTTCACTGCTAACACTGTAAGTTCGTAGAAAAAATGTACAATATTAGTTGTAACTAATTTACTGTTTTCTACAGTCACCCTTCCATGAAAGTACAAAAAATCCAGAAGCACCAATGACAGATGATTCCATTGCAAACGCCGATTTACATTCAGACAGGCCATCTACAACCACTTCAGGGCCTCGTGTGAATCAGAGCGGAGATAATGTATGATTTTTTAATGAAATGTCAAGCGAATTTACTCTCTTAACTGAATAATCTACTTTACTTTTTTCTATAGCCCATGCCAGATAAGTCCAATGTTAATATCGGTATGCATTCAGATATACCAACAAGCCAAAAACAAAATCAAAAAAGAAATAATGTAAGTTTTTTGAAAGGAAATGCAACCTATTTCAAGCGAATTCACTCGTGCAGACATTTTTCTTCCGATCTATTTATCTTTTCAGAAAAAAAAACCAACAAAAAATGCACGTCACACTCGACGTCCCACAAATATTCCAAGTTCAAGCCATACTGTAAGTTCATTGGAAAAATTTAAAAAAAATTGCTATTAAAATAAATACGTCATTTTTCTCGTAGGCAAATCCCAGTGCAGATGTACCAAACAACTCAAGTCCACATGAAAATCCGAAGGGAACGAGAGTAAGTTATTTGAATGAAAATGCATCATTTTTCAAACAGATTCACTCTTCTGACGTTTCTCTATTCACTTTCTCAGAGTTCAAAATCTTCTTCATCATCTTCTTCTCGCGAGATGCCTGTAAGATCATTGAAAAATTGTCCAAAACATAGTAAACAAAATAATTTAATTCATTTTTTTAGCCACAAAGTGATGGCAATAATTCCGATGATGGCGAACCAAACCCAACGCAAAGTGCAAACGTGTCAAATGGTCTCTCTGCAGTTAATAACGTATGTATTGATGGTAGTTTGGAATAATATGTTTTGATTCTGAATAATACAGGGTTTTTGCATCACAGGACACACCAGAAATCATATTTACACGTATCTCCCAGAAAGCTGGTGAATTATTTTTGGAATTTTTGAACAAATCAAATTCAAATGTTTGGTCGAGGGAGCCAAGTGCCGTAAAGGAAGAAGTTGTTTTTGAATGGGGGCAGAATAGTCGAACCAACTTACGTAAGGTCAATCTTAAAAATGATATGTGGGCCTACATTGAATACACGGATTCATTTGGCAAAGTTCCACAAAAAATGAAGTACAAAGTCCAAGCTGAAGAAGATTTAAAAGGCTTGTTAGAACTGGTGCACGTGAATAAATTCTCGGAACTTGCGAAAAACTTGTGAAATGAGAAAACATTAACAATAAAATCAATTCACGAAAAAAAAATTACGCGAAAAATTAATACTTTATTTAATATATATATTTTTGGTTGTTTCGTCAGTCTTCGCGGAATAAATTTTCTGCAAAAAAAAAAAAAAAAAAAAAAAACTTTTATTTTAAATATCTCTTTAATATTCGTTTTTAAATCAGATTACATAGTCTATTTTTACGTATTTTGTTCGATTCTTTTTGTGGCAGATAAAGTTTTTCTTAATCAAAAATCTTAATAAATAATAATACAATGGGATCTGCATAAAAGTAAATGATGCCGTAGATCATAAGGTAAATGATTCTGTGTTGGACTCAATATTGTGAGAATTATGCTGTCTGTGCTACTGCCGTTGGATCAACCGTTGAAGAAATTGTGTGCATTTCTCGGTCATATATTCGACGACTGACCAGGTTCGGATGAAACCACAAATAATACAAAATCATAAAAAACACACCAACAATAAATGGGACAATCGAGAGAATACACAGTATTAGGAAATAATCTTCTTGTTTGTCTTCTTCGGATGAATAAGACACATATATGGCAACACAAATAATGTTCTCAATAAAACACAACGTATAAAATATGGCGTAACGATATCGAGTCTGTCGCGACTTTGGTAAAATGTAATTGAAAATGAACACAAAACCCAAAATCAATGAGAACAATAAACTGTGAATGAATGTATTTGAACAAAACGGCGATCGATCAAAAATAAACACCCATAGACCCATCACAATGGCATGTATTGAGAAACTCAGCAACGTCCACACTGGAAATAGACTGGCCACTATTGCGATGGACAGAATACGTGACACTGAAATTGTATTGAACAATTTTGAAATTAAAAAAAAAATTGACGAAAATAAATGATTTAAAAAATGAAAAGTAAAATGTTTACCCGTAATTGTTAAATGCCAGGAAGATTGTATAATGCTTCCAATCCATGAAATGTTTATTTTATCCAACTGAGATAATCGTATGTATCTATGATAGGAAGCAATACACCAGGCCATACTGAATATTGAACTACAAAGACTCAGCAATTGCAGTTTGGTTATACTCTCTTCACCAGACAATATAATCGAGATTTGTAAAATCTTTTGCGGTGCTGCTTCCAGAAAACATTCGAATATTCTCACAAGAGCCACATCACTATCCTCATTGACTAATCGTCCAAACCATCGCTTTTGCTCCACTCGATTATTTTGCATTTCGGCCCGCTTACATTTAATCGTGTAAACCAGTGTTTTCCAATATCTAATGGAATCAATATTCAGGTTAAAAGTCCATTTACAATGAATTCAAGGAAATTCGTTGAAAACTACTCACCGAAATAGAATTGGAAAAATGATGACTGACCAAATGATATCGAATATTTTCAATTTTTGAATGGACCCATCCTTTCGATCTTCGCAATAGCTAAAAAAGCAAAATACATCATCAAATTACAATTGTCCAGAATAAAAGAAAATTGTGGTTTACAACAAGTAGCTCACATTGATAGTTGGAGAAACATTGTAACAAACATGGGGATGATAAAGCAGCATAATGTCCAAGTGAAATGATCAATTTTGTTGTGATTGTAGTAGGATATTGCCAAAAGTAATGTAGATACTATCGACATTACGCGACTAACGATTGATATCACTATGAATAAAATATCACATCTATTCACTTCGATGTCGTCTCCTTCGGGCAACGCATTCAGACTATCCAGAATGTCATTCACCTGTGGAGAGATTACAGAATATAAAATAGTGTTCAATATTGCAAAAAATGAGTAAAAAAAACCAGAAAACTTAGATGTTTTTTTTTTTTTTGAGTAAATTACCCGCTCTTTAAGCGATGCGTCGGTTTCCGTATTCATATTCATATTGACGGATTGTAACAAATATATGCGATCTAAATTCAATAAAACAGCATTTTCTTGCTGTTTCTTCACACAAATTTCAATTGAACTAACAAATTTTACTATTCAAAAAGGTATCGCGTGTCTTATTTTCGCACATTTGTCGAGAAAAAAAAGGTTAAAACCATTCAACAAGTAATAAACCGCTTGTTTTGCTATCTAAACACAAACAATAAAGCCTACCGTGCGCAAATGTCAACATTACCAATGTACAAACAAACGTGCACTATGACAACACGACTTAAATTCTAGTATTGCCGTCGTCTCCTGGAATTAACAGCATCCAATAGAATTTCCAAATGAGAAGGGAAACACATGATTTTTATCTTATTTTTGTAATGATTTTTTTTCTTTACTTCGAGATTTTTCTATACACATGTGATTAAAAAAAAAAAAAACATAAAAAACAACATAAAAACTTAAATAGATATGTGAACTATCACAGCCAATGCTTGCATTGAAATTTTTCATGTTGTGGATTTGGATTTGGTTATTCGTTCTTCGGACGATTGAAATGAATGTACTCGTGCTCCAAATTTTGGCGGACGATTTGTGAGCTGTTCAAATTTTCGCTTGGACTCCGTCTCATGTTTCGCTTTCGTCCGTTCATTGTGATTCAACACCGAGCGCATCGTATTTGCAAGAAATCGTTTATTCATCCGTGTTGATTTAATACGCCAACCGCTTGGTCCGATTTCATCAGCCAATTTTGCTGCTTTCTGAGTGTCTCGATTTATTTCTTCAATAGCACGTCTGCAATGGGAAAATGACACACATACGGTTTATTTTTGAACAATATATTAAAATAGAAAAATTGATGAAAATGACTTACTTTGTTAAATCCGTTTCTTTTTCTTCGGGCGTTGGAATTTTTGGCTTCTTGGCAGTTGATGTAGACGTACATTTGTCATCGTTTGATTTGCTTGTGGATTTTTGCTTACTTTTTAAATTTCTAAACAGTTTTTGCGAAAGCAGTTGCTTTTTTTGTTCTGCAGATGACATTTTTCAATGAAATTACACTTAAAATTACGATACACAATTGTTTTAAACAGAAAAGAAACGGCCAAAAAATTTGAACTCAAGTTGTGTTGTTCACAATTTGTGTCGCTTAAATAAGCCCATAAACCTTAATGAATATTAATATTATTTCTATGAGGTGTGATGTGTTCAAAACATAGAATCACACGAAAATGTGACAGTTGAATGGAAGGTAATTTGACAGCATTTGTTTGACGTCTCTAGATTGTCTTCGATGTGTGCGTGTGTCTAATTGCATTTGTATTTGTGTCGGAATTTTGCTTGATTTTCCAACAACAAGCGGCATTCACATTCAATTCATACTAGCTGTGCGTTGTTCTAAGTGTCGTTTTCGAGGGAAAAATAAAAAAGCATCTCTGATCATAGAACACATATTAAAAAATCACTTATATTATATTGAAATAGTTGAAATTTATAGAAAAACTCTTCAAAATGACCGACGGTGAGTATTTAGATGGAATAATATATAGAAGAAAGTGTGTTTCTTTTGTTGGTTATGTTCATACAATGATAAAGTTAATTTCTATTTCACACCAATGAATGAGTGTGATTCTCTAAAAAAAAATGTGATTTTTACCCTCGTTTAATTAAAGGAACGCCGGATGATATGTGGACACCGTTCAAACAGCTACAGCGTGTGGTTGAAACATTTTTGTCAAAGCGCGCACCAGACGCGTCACTTGCAAATCTCGAACTGATTTTACAAAAACACAAGCCCGACTTTATAAATTTGCTAAAAAATTCGGTGAGTTGAAAAGGAACAATCGATTTGCCTCATAATGAGTATGTGTGTTTGAGTGAATTTCTCATTATTATGAAATGATTTTTTTTTTCAGCCAAAGAACGCAAAGTGTCGAGATGAAATCCAGAAAGGTATTACGGATGGCGTTAATTTACCTGGTCTTGGTCACACAATTCTGTCAAAAGATTTGGTAGATGAAAGTATCATACTCTCGGACATGTTCAATTTAAATGAGTACAAAGCCTTGGAGCTTTTGTGTACAGCACAACAGCAAATACCGCATCATCCTGGATTGCCGCGTGGTTTGGTTGCCATTCTACTATACTACGATGGCCGAAAGACTTTGGTCACAACATTAAAGCAATTGTTTCAGTCACGTTATGGCATCTCATGGTGTACGGAAGCATCACAAGATATTACCACATTCATAACAAATTACACCGATTCATTGGTGGCCGATGGTCTTTTGAATAAGATCATTGAATTGCTAGAACAAATGGATTTAACACAAGAGCTAGCATTGTTGAGTGAAAACCGTGCCTTGGGTCCACCAAAGCATCATCGACAAGTGTTGGATTCTTTCGAAGAAATTCGCATTCAATTGGCAACCACATTGTACTGTTGGGCGGCACAAAGTGGTTTACCACGAAATACAACGCTTAAATTGATTCAATACCTTTCAAAATACACATCAGACGATTCACGCGGTGGCATTGACGATGTGACGTTGGCATTAATCATGGCATTGGTATACGCATTCGATTTGAGTGTCTTGAAACGACGTGATGACGGTGAAGATGTTGTTCTACAATTGCCCATCGTTAACGATCCGAATTACATTAAAGATGTTTATTCGGCGCTCACAACCGAATGGAAAACAAATGAACTGCGATCGGTTGGCTTGTTTTCGTTTGCGTTGACAATAGCAACACTGCGACAGGCACCACAAAATTTACAACAAAATGCCAGCGATTTGATCGATCAGCATGAATTACTTGCCGAAACGGCGATTCAAGAGAAAGTCTTCGATTTCATTTATCACATTTTGTTGGAAAAAGATACAGTTTTCCGAACAGAATTTTACTTTCGGCGCATTCATTATTTGCTAACGGATTTCATAGAATTTATGCACTCAAAGGTGAATGAACTGAGGGCACGTGCCGATGAAACAGCCCGAACAATTCAAATTCATCAACAACAAGGGCTGGATCCACCACCAAATCTTGATCGACACTTCGAAACACTATTGCTTACAGTCGGCAAATTGTACAGCAATGATCAAATGAACTTAAATTTGGATTTGGAATATTGGGGACCGATGGAAACTAGCGGCAACTATCAACATCAGCGCACCTCAAATCGATCAGTTTCATTGTTTAAATTCATTCGATTGGCGGGTGAATTACTACCTCCAATCCTATTGATTCCGTATCTTAAAATGCTGGCCGGTTTGTCAAGTTGCCAACAATCAGCCCGGAATGCATTCAATCTTCTCAAACAAGGTTCGAATATATCGGGCAGCACAACATTATCATGGGAACATTTCTTTGGCTCTATTTCGAGATATTATACGTAAGTAATTGTTCAAATATTTTGGTAACCAACATTATAAGCTAGATTATAAGTTTGTCAGTTTCACCAAGAATTTCGGTGAATTAATAATTTGTGTTTTGAATTGAAGGACGCTTCGTCAAGAGCAACATCCAGCAACCGACACCGTTTATCGTAGTCGAGCCTTAAATCGTAACATCAGTCCACAAGAGTTGGCTGGCTTACAAGCAGTTTTGGCCGTTATTCGAGCCGTAGCTACACACGACGATGTGGCAAGAATTGCGCTGTGTGAACATCCTAGCTGGGCACCTCTGCATGTTCTTTTGGGTTTGGTCAGCTGCTCCATTGATATTTCACTTAAGACAGATTTACTTCTGACGCTGGCAGCTCTCGGTAAATCAAAAGAGACAGCACTTCAACTTTGGGTCAATTTGGAGGCAAGCCAAATAATCACAACCATTCCGTCGACAAATAACTTCAGCTGCGTTCCACGTGGCATCGAATGTGAAATCGACAAAACTGAGAGTCGCAATGAAACATATCCGCTGACTCAAGCGATTTTAGAACTTATTTATACACTGTCCTCAACGATAATGCCACGTAATTTGGGAGCTGGACCGCGGAAACCAGGCATTATTCCATATTTCAACTTTATTTTGGAATCGATTTTCTTGAAGTTTTACAATCGGTAAGTGGAGTGGGTCCGGTTGGGCAAAAAAAGGATTGAAATGAATGAATTTTTTGAATTTTTTCAGAATTTACAAAGACGAAGCGGAAAAATGGATTGTTGCCGAGAAATGTTTGAAGATCTTTGATTTCTTTGTCAAGACATACGAGATAAATCCAGCCGATTTCCCGGTGATGGGACAGAACAAAGACGAATATCCACCGCCAGGTTTTTACATCATGCTTGAAATGAATACCAACGAAAAATCGGATTTGTTAAAGTGAGTATTATTCAATTCATTTTAACCATTCATTAAGATTGAATCAACACATTAAAGCCACACATCTTTTGAAATCTTAGGCTCCTTTTGCATATCATTGACGAGGCATCACATGCCCTCGACACGTTCACAAATTTCCCGGGAAAAGCAAGATTGGAAAATTGTGTGCTGTACTCTTTGAATATACTTCAACGTTCACTGACGCAGCAGGATCGTTTCTTTGATGCACACTACGAGGCAAAATGTTCGATTCTGTTGTCTGGCTTGAACAAATTGTTGCTTGGCATAAATTATCGTAGCGGAAAACCCGATCATATGTTGAACATTGTTAAATATGTCACCTACAATAGTTGGTTGCCAAAACAGGCACTACTCGCCGTACGAATTCTATCGCACGTTACACGTCAACCGGGCGTTCACACATTGTTGCTGAGTGAATTTACACGCACAAATAAATTGGCCAATGAAATTCGTCATGGATTTGTGGAATGCTTGGAATCCGATTTGCCAGTGTTCACAGATACCGAGAATGTTGATGCAACACCCGAAAATGGCGACGAAATCGAATTGACGATCAAAGAAGAGATCATAAAATTACTTGAAGAATGTCTACCCCATTCGGCGCCAAACATTTCACATTACTTGCTTGGTTTTGATATAACAAAAGACATTCGTCAAACGTTACTTCAACAGCCCGGCGTTTTGGATTTCCCAAGCAATTGCACCAAGTCGCTGATTACAATACTCGACGAAGGCATTCAACAGCTCAAAGTTGGCATTGAAATACCATTTAATCAACAGCGTTTACTTCAGAATGGTTACCGTCTTTTGTACACATTGTGCTCAAATCACAAGACGTCAGAGGTTATTTTACGTTTTTTGCGTGAATGCAAGGAATTTTTATTGCGACATATTTCGGTGCTGCCATTCCAACACCATGAAAATCCATTTGTTCTCAATCAAATGACGGGATTATTGAAATGCGTGGCTATTGAATTGAAAATCACAGCAAATCATCAACAAGTGAAACAATTCAAAAATCTCTCCGATGTACTTTTGGGAACAATTAAAACCGAAACCAGCACCGACAGTACACAACATGAAGGATTTTCTACCATTGGCAACAATACAACAATGTTCTCAACGGCCGATAATTCAATGTTTGGCAGAAGCATCGTCAGTGGATACAGAAAAGCAAATGAAGGTGATAATAGTACGGATCTGTTGATTTGCAAACTGTTGGAGTGCCTTGATTTTGATATAAAACAATTGGAACGTCCAAAATGGGAAGTGTTTGACAATTCATTGATGGATCAATTGTTACAGGTACATTTTTATTTATTTTGAATTAATTTGACGCAAGTGGAATGAATAATTGAAGTAGGTGATTTTCTAAGGGTGGTTTCATTAAAAAAAAAACTTTGATATTTCTTATCAATAGAGCTGCATCGTTCCACCTGATTCGAATGCGCATGGCGGACTAAAATTGATAAACATCAAGAAACTGCATGACATTCTCAAGGATGAATTAAATATCGTTCAAAGTACGATTGCATCAGGTCAACGTCAACACATTCTACATGAAATCGATCAGGTCCTCAAGTATGCCGTCGAATTGAATACGCAAAAAAATCGTTGCGCATCAACCGTACATTTTATGGAAGCATGGAGTCAAGTTACTGAGATATTGTTTGCTGTTGCTCCAATATTTGCATTGTGCTACGAGGATCGAGGTGGTTTTATCATTGAAATTCTTCAAGCACTTTTGAATAAGGTAGTTTCTTTTAAATTTCATAAACAATGTGAAAGAAGATAGAATTTTAATAAAATGTCATCGTTTCTACAGGTTGTGCAAGTGGACGTAATGCCTGAATTAGGAAAAATTGCTTCATCAACATTACTTCAAATGCTCGTTTGTTTGCGTCATTGGTACAAACACGCAAATGTCACCTTCGATTCAAATGGATTGGCCATGCAAAGCTCTGCAAACCATACGCTGAACAATGGAGCATCGTTCAATATTGGTTCGTCAAATTTGACACTCACACCGAAAACCAATAGCTTGAGTTTGAAGTACATTTTAAAGAATATCGTCGATTGGATCATCATAAGCGGTGAAGCATCTCAGAAATTGAAAATCAATTTGTATGCATCGCTCTTGAATTTCATGCACATTGTCAAGGGATTCAATTCAAAGGAAACACTTTTGGATGACCAGAAATCAGACCAGTAAGTTGAGAACTGTTATATACTCTCTTGAGAGAGAAATAAAACCTAATTCGTTATTTTCGATTTTATAGCTATGTTTCTCGTTTGGATCGATCAATGGTTCGTGCTGTAGCCGAAAGTAGCAGCAAAACAAATTTAACACAACTGGCGGTAGAAGTGTTCAACACAGTTGGCGATAAAATTGTGGATATTCTATGTCACGATTGTACCGGCGGTCATGATGTGTGCAAAATGCTTGCTCTCTCTTGCATTGATATGCTTCTCGACATCGATTCGATGGTCAGTTTCATTCAGTTCATTTCGCGCCGTGGTTATTTGGCCCATTTAGTCGATAGTTTGTTAAAAACAGACGATCAATTGTGTCGCGTCTTGGAAAGTGTCCCGGAGAATATGAAGGCATTATATGTATACGAATCAAAAATGGCAATGTTGGGTCGCGTTGCAAGCTCATACGTTGGCGCTGAATTGCTGTTGGAACATCGATCGTTGGGTATTTTATCGGGAATGAAAGTGTACGACATGCATCCAGATTTTCAAGTTAATAACTATATGAGCCATCAGTATTCACAGTTTATACCACCAGTTGACATTCGATACCAGCAAATTCTATTCCCAGCATTAAATTTGTGCGACATTATTCTATCGACACTTGGACCCGAAAATTATTCGGCCATAACACAGGTCGTACATTTTCTATTGTCACACGGTGATATGATTGAGATTGTACTTCGTGCTGGAACACCATTCCTCAATATTGGATTGCTACAAGAGTTATCGGCCATCACTGGATTGATTGCACGATCGGCGAATCAGGACATTTCCAATTTAATCGAACCAAATTCAAATCAAGACTTGGGCGCACATTTGTATCGTTTGCAAAAGCTCATGTTAAATCTATTCCCACGATTCATCGTCTCCGAATCAACGCTCAAAGAAATGGGTAAATCGAATTTAATCGCACACGAATCCCAGTTGAATATGTCGCGATCATTTTCAATCAACACCAATAATTATGCAAGTGATAATAATCAACAAAAGGCGAAAACACTTCAAATTAAATATTTCCTACAAATTGCTTGTAATTTGTCATTGTACGCTAGAAATGCCATTGCTAATCATAGCGCCGATCATCGTGCCACTGGAATCTTATTCTCGCCAACACTTAACGAAGGATTACAAAGGTAAATGTTGTACACTGTGAATTGAATCGAATTGAAAGTTTGAATAATTTGGTTTTCTCGTTAAATAGAAATGAGATTCGGTCCGGCACATTGGAAGCATCGCCCAGTCTTGGCATTGTAGTGTCACAGCTCAAAAATTGCGTAGAGTATTATAATCGTGAGAAAGGTGCCTATGATGGCCTCCTAAGACAACGCAAAGCCTTGGAAGCTAGTTTAAATATCAATCAAAGAGGTAAGACATTTTCTACATTCTCAATGATCTAACCTTGCATGATTACGACTTGAATTTTCTCAATAAATGAATGTACCTTCTTTCCCAATAGATCAACAACAGTACGAAACACTGTCCGAGAAATTGATCAACAAACAAGATGAGCTAAAATACTGCATTTTCCTTACTGAGAATTGTTTATATTTGCTTTGGGCACATCTGGACTTTTTCATGCTTCGAGCAATCTCAGTAAATCCACTACAATTCAACAAGTCTTTGAGTAGAAATTTTGACTGTAAGTAACCATAAACTATTGACGAAAAAATTAAATTCTTAAAAAAAGTTTCAATATTTATTTCATGTTCAGCTTCGATTACATCATCGATCGATGCTGGTTGGAAGGTGACAGCCGATGATGTGAGCGTATTGAAGAAAACATTGGTTCAAATATTCACCGAAACATTCTGCAAGCAATTGATTGCTACGACCCAAGATCAAACGTCGACCGATAAAAGTTTTGTCGAAGCTCTGCTCAGGCGCATCAAGCATCTGATTCAATTTGTGCCAGTCAAATAAACAGCATACTAATTTACAGAGAGAAAAATGAAAAATACAGACTTTTGTTTAAATTAATTCTTAGTTTTATTTCATAATGCTTTTATAACGGAACTCAATGATTCAATTACAAAATTGTTAATTTTGGAAAATGTTCAATAATGTGTAACTGATCGATTAATAAATTTATCATTTAATGAAAAATATGGATTTTTTTCGCTCGAATTTGATCGATAAGCTGTCCTCCGATTAAATATTTAATATTTTTTAAATCTTAACAGACCAACTCTTTTAAATAAAGAACAATTAAACTTAACATAATAAACAGTAAAGACCTTGGATTTAATCTATTTCTATTGGTGTGTTGTTAGTGTTTTCATTGCGTTTTATAAAATTGCTATTGACTTGCGGTGGAATCTTGTTTGGTTTTGTTTCGATCGATGTTGATAGCTTTGATTGTTTGTTTGATCCCTTCGTCGATATGCCAGTAATCATTTGTGGTGGCAATTTTGTACGTTTGATAAAACCAACGCACCAATCAAACGATGCCTGATGAGATTCGTGCCATCCGGGCGGCATTTCAACTTGATTACAAACACCATAAACAAATGCCATTATTCGAACTTCCTTCGACGATAGACCTGAGTAGTAGTTGGATGTTTCACGCACATAATCGGCGAGTTGATTTTCTTGTTCAAGTGTGAACACTTGACGTGGACGTCGAAAACCACCGTTACTTATCAATGTGCTTGTTGGTACTGTGTTTGCATTACTGACTACATTCATGTTTGGATTAATTATTGGAGTTGATGTGCCAATTTTTGTGCCATTTATGAAGGTTCTTTCCAAAATGTGCAACGAACTATTCGGTGAACCATCTGAAGAGTCGGATACATTAAAAACGGAGGGCGTACCATTTTGCCTTGATGTCGATAAATTAATGGGCTGAGAGAACGGTTCATTTTGTATGGGTTTTGGCTTCGAATAGACAGGCGTTATCGTCAAATTGTTTTGGTATAAAAGTGCTGCTGCTGCATCAACTATTGCATTCTGTTCAAGGGGAACAAAGATTGGGTTATTTATATATATTTTTTTTTTTTTCAAAAATAGATCTAAACTCACATTAAATAGTTTGTCGGCAGGGAAACCGTTTAACATAAAATCATTCACCGGATGTGGTTGAATCTGTGGTGGTTTGGTTGTTAGATACAAAGATGGAATTGCATATTGTTGCAATCGATTTTGACTTTCGTTCAAGAACATAACCGCCTCAAAATGCTGTTGACATATTCGTTCATCGTGAATGTTGATTTTATCCAACAGATCAAACCGTTTTGTCTTTTCGATCCAAGTTCGGCATCTATTCCATATTTAAAAAAAAAAGAAAAACAAACCGGTTTTAGTATACTTAATCTGTTCAATAATCAGCGGTTTTTTTTCGGTTGTAATTATCGTAATTGCTATTTTGAATGTCACCAGCAAAGACTATGTGTAGAATAAAACAAAAATGTGCACGAAAAACTGATAAAAAAAGGCACACGCTAAAACGAGGCAATAATAACTGTATTTGTTATTTTCATTTGCAATCATGAATAATAATAATTGAGTGCGTGCTGGAGAGCACAGTATGAATCCAACTCTAGAATGTGTGCAAAAATGAACGAAAAAGAGAAACCATGGGAAATGGTTTTTTATTGGTTGTAACGCATAGAATTGGTATAAAGTGTACAGAAGTGTATGTATATGTGCATACTATGATCGAAAGTATGTATGGGGTTCCCGAAACGATTGCAATGGCGCACTATGTTTACAAAACGACATACACAACGAAGGGAGCTATGATGACATGGAATGAGCGAACGATATACGAGCAGATGTAATATGATTGCGCATGATGAAATTTTGGATTGTCATAATGCTTAAGTGAATCATACGCATACATACACAACAACAAATGAATCATTACAAAAAAAAAGAAACGACTCAATGTAAGATGTCACCAAAAAAGCTGCATTTTTATGATGACATGATGATTTGTATGCTTACCTTTCTACATCTTTTGGAAATCGAAAGAAACTCAAATGTTTATGGGTGTGTTGAAAATTGTCGCAGGTCTTGATTGAACACTTTCTTCCACGTTTGCTTGACATTTTTTTTCTTCTTATTTTGGGCAATTTCAAATATGAATGCGATAATCGATTTGAATAATATTCACACTACAGAATCAGGTCAATAAGTAATGTTATGGACACAGTACACACAGAAAACACACACACGCCCAACAAAAGTATTAACCACAAAGAATCGTTGTCTTCTCTTTTTTTCTCTGTATCTCAGGTGCAATATTTTTTTCCAATTTAACTATTCGAATTGCTATTGGTGTTGCTACAATTCGATAGTGAAATATTTGGTTCAATGAATTCGAATGTCATACACGTATACATAAATCCATGAGCTGCAGATAAAACTACCATTTACTTTCGATTCAATAAAACACTCTTACGTGAATAAAATTATTGTTTTAATTTGAATAGTTTTCATATATTCTAAAATGAAAAATGTAATTGACCAAATGCAAGTCAAATAAAATGGAACAAAATGATGTGATTTTGACTAAATGTCTGCGTACATACACAAAATATTTCAGATTTAAGCAATCGCGTCAGATGGCCGACTCACAACTAAATGATCCGCAGTCAACAACAGCAACATAAACGTGAAAAGAACGAATAGAAAAGGAAAACAAAATCAACGAGAAAATATACACCGTAAATGTATTAAATGAGTGAAGAGAATATGAGAGGCCCGTATGCTATACATTTTTATTATAGAGATCGTGTTTGCACACGTTGGTTTCCCTATCTCTCTCTTTCTATTCTATTCACTACGCTCTCATTCGCATAGTTGCGGCTGCATTCGTCATGTCTTCTATTAGGTGACTACGTCCCATCCATATAATAACAAAACATCGCACACATGGTTACAACTAATATGTATGTACACCAAACCTTCTGATCATCATATGTGACGCTACATGTATATGCCATTCTATCAACAGTTTTTTTTTCTTTACACGACGAAAAAAAAAGAAGAAACAAGCATCTACGTTGCATTCTGCCAAATTATTGGTGAAATATTTCTCACAACATAGTAGACTCTTGAGCCATTGACGTAATCAAATGTGAGTGGAAATTTCAAATTAGATTCAATCAACCATGAATTCAACAAATGGCTTTGGTGATTTTTCTAGCAACACTGTTTGCTATAAGTTTATCTTCTAAAACCGTCTTGCGCTGTCAATGTTTTACCATCAGTATGCGTAGAACGTACATAACAAGCGCATGTTACAATATCATTAAAACTAAGCTGGCAACAAATAATATGAATAGAAATCACGACGTTTTTTCACATTTAATCTATGCAACTATCAAATATGCTGTTTTTATTCTAGAGCATTCAATTTTGAACTCAAATCCCATATCATTGAAATTTATGTTCCGGGGCATGCTAGAAGTGTCTTTTAAAAGTGCATACATCAAATCAAGTTTTCGGCGACTGATACATTCCAAAGCGGTTTTTGAGCATCCTGTAATGGTTACACCATGGACAATATCCATTTATATATAAAACAATGAATACATAGGTTCTCCACAATGTTTTTGTATGACTCAGATACATGCGCTTGTGGTGTGCCCAAATCAAAATCGTTGCTGTCATGTGGTGCCTAGTAGCCAGCAAAAATGAACTTAATTATTTAGTCGTTGTCAATGTTTTGCACAATTAACGAACTTATAGTATTTGGCATAGATGATTGAATCCGATATATATGTATTGTTTCCATTTTTTGGATGAGAAAATCAAAAGAGAAATGATTCAATTAGGTAAGACAGAAAAGTATTGTTGATTCTAATGAATTTGCATGAAAAATAATGTACTTACATTAATTGAATTGGCATGGCTAAATTTGTTTATGTTGTTCAAAAATTGTCGTTATGATTAGGGAAACGATGATTTAAATTATTTAAAAGTCGTATAGTTTTTAACGAGCAAACGATTCATATTCATTCAAAAAACTTAGGGGTTTTTAATTCTTCTCGATGCGAAACTCGCAAATAGAAAAGATTCGATTGGACAAATTCTGTAGAAAAATTAGCTATTTAACCTACTGCCCAAACATACATCTGTTTTACTTCGGTGAGATTTTATTTAGTTTGGCGGGTTTTTGCCAGAGTTCAGTGAACAGAAAACGTTGAAATTAATCTCAAAATTTTTTAACGAAGAAAAACAAGTATTTGGTCGCATTTGAAAAAGCTTACCGATTGATTTTTTTTCGTAAAATGAAAAGGCAAATAGTTATAGTTTATATTTATATTTAACGTGATGTTTAATTTACACACAGAAAACGATAGTTACAAGTAAAACCAACTTACTGTGCGCCATAAATGTCAAGAGAACATCATAAATATCAACGATCGATCAATTTTTTTTCTGAATAACTTGAACTAACAATAATTTAATGCTAATTTTGGTTAATCTAACACATTCTAACACAGTTTGACAACATACAATTATATATCATATAGTATACACATTCAAATGGGATCTGACTTTTGGACCATTTTATAGTACATCATGAATTCTCGTTCATATTCGTGATAGGTTTTTCCGTTGAACGTTTCAGTTGCGGGGATCCATTTTCGTAAAGGGTTTTCATTTATAAAGTTAATGTAGCGTTCAATGTTCCGATAAATGCGATGAATATTTGCGCAAATAGCGCTAGCTTCGTCCGTTATCTCAGACAAGGCATCATTTTGTTGGTTCTTTTGCGTACACAGCTTTGACTCATCGACTGTAAACGAAGTAATATCATATTTAAACTTTGCAATTGCAAAACATTGCCACTTTAGAAAAGTAAAAATTACCTTCGGGCAGTCCTTCTGGTGCCTCAAATGCCTTTTCGATTATTTTCATTTGACTGAACCATTCGATTTGCGATTGTAAATTTTTAACTGACATGGCTGGCGTTATCATGTAATCGAAGATTAAGCGCTTTATATCATTTGGCAGCTGGTCATATATCTTTATATTGAGTAACGGATTTGCGCATAAATCCAAGTGCCTAAAGAATGAAACAAAAGACATTTTTGATATAAACTTAGAAATCATATGAAATGGAGGTTTTTACATACTCTTGCAATGGATTTCGAAGTTTAAATTTGACGATGGGAGTATTCAAAAAGATTTTTATTTCAGATAATTGATTTGGCAATGAAGTCGTCGGCATCGAACGTGGAGCACCAATCTCCGATCTGAAATTTAAGTGATCGAATTTAAACGATATGTTTTGGCAAACGAATGTTCAACAAATGACTGTTACCTTCCAAACAAAGCAGTACTGTTGGCGCTATCAGAACGATTGGTGGAGAGAACGCTGTCATTGCTCGCAACACTACTGTTGCCGGAACTATTCATCCGTGTATCTGAACCCGGTGCCGGTAGCTGTTGGTCCTTTTTGCATTGCAGTAAATACCGCATCAAATCTTCGCTGTGTTGAATTTTTTCACGGACATGTGTCAAATTGTAAATGTCTTCATGGGTGCGAACGTATAGATTTTCCATATCCAGATAAATCTTTGTCAATTCCGTATTGCCCACAAGATAATCATCGTTCGACTTTTTGCGACGTTGAATTTCCGTTTGATTTTCTTCGACGACATTGAGCAGATATTCGATTTCACCTTTGCCATAGTACAATGTCGAATACAGACTCAAGTAGTCGCCCAAAAAATCATCATCAATACTTTGATTGTTGTACATCAAGTATTTGGACCGTAAATCATTCAAAAATGACTCGTAAAACACCACATAATCATTTAAAATACCTTCACTGCGTTTGTCAATGCCATGGCGCATGATACACAATTTAACATGCTTTGCATGTAATTTGCCGATTTCAACTTGTAGATTATTCTTTTGCGTTGGATCATCGTATCCGGCATTCACATACAGAATCTTTTCCATATCCATTAAGCTCAACGTCTCCATCATTGACGCCTTTTGCTTCATTTGATCACCAATGCCTGTCCACAGTGTCAAATTCGGAATCTGTGCAAATATGCCACGTAATCTTTGCCAGAGTTGTTGACGAGTCGTCAAATTCACTTTAATTGAACAGAATCCACCCGTTAATACTCAATCTTTTCTATTTATTTCAATTAAATTTACCTTCATAATTTTCCGTATGATTAAAAGTGGCGTAGAATTTCTGTAGTTCGAGTTTGGCCGCTGTCAAAGCAGCCATCGCATTTTTGTCATTGGAATTGGTGAATTTGACCGGCGTTATTTCATCAATATTTTTACCAATCTCCTTCTCTGCCTCGATTTGACGCTCAATTTCTCTTGTTTTTAATTTACAAATTGCATTTTTTGCAGTCGTATCGACGATTTCCTCCTTCAGTTGAAACGTTTGAATATCTAAACAGGCAGAATTGCATCGTTTAATTGAACTTGTTAACGGGGAAAAAATATGGGATACAAACTATTTTCTTTCGATGAAATTGCCAATTTTTGATATTGTTGCTTTTTTGCTGCGACACGAGACTTTAAATTTTCCAAACGTTCTTCCAACTTTTTCTTCGTTTGATACAAATACAGTTGCTCTGATTGAACTTTTTTCACCTATTTAATGTACCACATTTAGTTTCAAGAAGAATAAGAAATGGAACCATGCTACTTACAGCAACTGTATTACCACCAATACGTTCAACTTTGCGCACTTTGATTTCATCGCGTACGGCTTTCACGTCTTGTTGTGGTTGTATTCGTCTCATCAGTTCATTAAAAGCAAGCATTTGACCAGAAGAAAATATGCTATGGAAAAATATTGCGTAACTCAATCAAATGTATTTTATAGCATTTATGGTGTTTGTCTTACCGGCTCAATGTCTTTTTCGGTGGCAAAACATTCGACGGAAAACCAAGGTTATCTGCCCAATCTTCAAAATGAAGAATATCATCCTCGACACCCATTTTGATTGAAATATTTTAAATTTTTCTTATTGGAGCAATCGATGCCGACTGATAAAACTATTACAAATTGAATCGTTCGCGAAAAACACAAAATTCTCTGTGTATGAACTGAAAACCGTTTGCTTTTGTTTAAATCAGAAAAGATGACAGTTCGTAAAATAAACTGTTGTCATTGTATTGAACTGACAGCATTCGTCCGATACATACACTCACATATACAAAAATTACATCTGTAATAATTCGAAAATGGTCAATAAAATGAACATCATTTTTTGTGAAATTTTTTTTTTTTTAAAATGGCCCACAAAATATTATTTTTATTATTAAAAAAAAAAACAAATATTAAAACGACAAAAATCGTTTCCAAACTAACAGCATGTGAACTTGGAAGTGACAGATGTATTGAAATAAGACAGCACAGTATTTTTTGTTTCTTTGTTATATTTACTTTAAACAATGACACTGGAAAGTGTAAAACGACAGTCAAATTGGGTGCAAAGCAGTGTGGAAGGATCTTTGTTTTCTTTGTTTATTGTTTGTTTTCGTTCGTTGTGCATTGACTAGTTAGATAAAATTCTAATAATAAAAATGGAACAAGAGTTTTTCGATATTGAAAATTTACAAACAAATTTTAAAGCTGCTCTAAAAGATGAAACTGACATTGCAATGGATTTTTATTTAGAAGGTTTCAAAGAGCTTTACAAGTACGGGCCAAATTAAGTTATTATTCGATATTGATTTTTAATGACTCATAACATTTTGTCTGTTGGTCATGTAGGTTTTTCCAGTTAATGGGATCTGTGTTTGGATTCGTAAGCAGTGACGTGAAATCAAAAATTGAAGTGCTCGAAAGTCATCGACAAAAAGAATATGCCGAACAATTCGAAACATTTTCCAAAATGCTTGAATATGAAAAATCATCGGCTCTGTTGGACAAAAAAGACTATGTATCAGGCAGTCGAACTTTGTTACGTTTGCATCGTGGCTTAGGTAAATATATCGCTTATCTCTTATCACCTTGTTTTTCGTATACGTAATTCAAATTTTCGCTCATTTTTTAGCGTTCGTTCGTGAATTCTTGTTGCGATTGAGTGAAATTGAATCTCATGAAAAAACGACTGGCATTTGTAAGACAGCGTACAATGATACTCTTGCCCAATATCATCCGTGGATCATACGAAAAGGTGCTTTGGTTGCAATGCATGTGCTGCCCACACGTGATCAACTTCTCAATAGGGTATGCCAAGACGCTGAACGATCGATTGCTTTCTTGCCCGACGTATTGGAAACATCGAAAATCGTATACGAACGCACGGAACAATTATACACCGACTTCGATTTACATGCACTGCCATAAAATTAGCAACCAAAATAAGCTTAAATTCAGTATTAATATACGACACTGCATTTCATTCCGACGGTGCCGTTACTTTATTTATCCAATCAAAATAATTTTCATCATTTTATTCGATTGAGTTCAAAGTTGCCTTTAGTGTTTTACTCAAAAATAAATTCAACAAATTGTAAATGTTTAGCTTAAGAGTAGTAGGAAAAGAGGGATTCGAGTGCAATCCTTGCGTCATCCATGCTGTTAACACTTCAAGCGCTAAATAATATAAAAATTTCTATCAAATAAAACTTCTGATATAGATAAAAATCGAATTTTGTGCGTTTTTTTCAAAATCGTATAATGAAATATACCTATTTTTAAAGAAAATTCTTTTTCACATTTATTCGAATCGAAATTCTATACATCGTTGGGAAAACGTGATCTCGCCTTTGCTCTGAACTTATCCAATAAATTCAAGTTCCGAAGGAATTGGCGTGAAACTGCATTGCCGTCGAGAACATCTGCGTTATGTTCTTCCAATAAAATTCTTTGGTGCTCAAGCAAGAAGCCCACAAACATTTCGTACCATGCTAATGATCCTATAACAATCATAAAAAAATCAGTTACAATTATAATTATTATCAATAAATTGGTTCATTTTACCTATTGCCATTGGTTCTTGGCGAGTGTTATCTTGGCTGTACCCAAAATTGGCTTCGTAGTCGTCAATCTTCTTCAACATTGAGTCCATAATATTGTTAAACTGTCTGCTGCAAGCAAGCAGTTGAACCTTACGTTGATTGTTTCTCATATCGCTTAGTATCGTCAGAATTTGCTCGTAAAGACCAGTTATGCAGTTAACAACCTCAGTTTGAGAAGCTGAAATCGAGAAATCAAAATTTATTACCTTCAACTCCGATCGACTCATTAGAAATAATCAAAACAAATAGTTAAACTAAATACATACAAATTCACTTGACCACATGCGATCTACCCACTTCGGATTTTATATAAAACTCCTCAATTTCATCTATCAAACATACCAGATAGATTGCCACGACTTGCCATTTTTAAATATTTTTTTGAAGAAATTTTCACAATATATTCGATTCGTGTGTTCCTCTAAAATGTGATCTTGACAGATATTGTTTATAATTTCAAAATCCATATTGTTGCAATAACCATCTGTCACATTCGACTAGAGTGAACAGATGTGATTTTAAAGTGTTAAAGTTTTCATTCAAGCAAATTTTACATATAAAAAAAAAGTGTTGAAAAAATTAAAAATTTCCGATAAAATTGAATGAAATGGACATTTTTTTCTTGAAAATATACATTAATTTTTTTTTCATGTTTCACATAAAGTTTCACAACAATATCTTCAGTTCGAAATGTCAACTGTTTCAAGTTTCATTCGTTTATGGCAAACTTCATGTCTATTTACAATATTAAGTGAATTATTCGTCGAGAAAAAAAAATGTAAACAGCAATAGTATCTTTCTTCTTTTTTTTGTCACTTTCTTCTTGATGAACTGAATCGAATATATTGTGAAAATTTCTTTAAACAAAATTTTTAAAATGGCAAGTCGTGGCAGTATATCTGGTATGTTTGTCTTTTATTCATAAATTTATATGCTTGAGATGAAGAGTGGAGATATTATATCGATTTTAATGTACAAGTTTATGTTCCAATTTAAGATAATTTCCAGAAATATTCGACCTTTATTCCCAAGCATAATTTTGTGGCGTTTTGTGTTGTTTTGTGCTGTTCTGTTTCGTTTCTCCATGTAATTTTCATATTTTTTGACAGACGAGATGGTTTCGGGTGGAGATAAACTACCTATAAAGACAGAACTAGATGAAATTGAGGAATTTCATATAAAATCCGAAGTGGGTAGATCGCATGTGGTCAAGGGAATTTGTATGTATTTAGTTTAACTATTTGTTTTGATTATTTCTAATGAGTCGATCGGAGTTGAAGGTAATAAATTTTGATTTCTCGATTTCAGCTTCTCAAACTGAGGTTTTTAACTGCATAACTGGTCTTTACGAGCAAATTCTGACGAGACTAAGCGATATGAGAAACAATCAACGTAAGGCTCAACTGCTTGCTTGCAGCAGACAGTTTAACAGTATTATGGGCTCAATTTTGAAGAAGATTGACGACTACGAAGCCAATTTTGGGTACAGCCAAGATAACACTCGCCAAGAACCAATGGCAATAGGTATAATGAACCAATTTATGAATAATAATTATAATTGAAACTGATTTTTTTATGATTGTTATAGGATCATTAGCATGGTACGAAATGTTTGTGGGCTTCTTGCTTGAGCACCAAAGAATTTTAATGGAAGAAAATAAGGCAAATGTTCTCGACGGCAATGCAGTCTCACGCCAATTCATTCGGAACTTGAATTTATTGGATAAGTTCAGAGCAAAGGGCAGATCACGTTTTCTCAACGATATATAGAATTTCGATTCGAATAAATGTGAAAAAGAATTTCGTTTAAAAATAGGTATATTTCATTATACGCTTTTGAAAAAACGCACAAAATTCGATTTTTATCTATATCAGCAGTTTTATTTGATAGAAATTTTTATATTATTTAGTGCTTGAAAATAATTTCTGGCATATGACCTCCGCAGGGTGACGCAAGGGGTGCTTGCGTCGGCCTTGCGTTAACAGCATGGTTGACACAAGGATTGAACTCGAATCCCTCTTTTCCTACTACTCTTAAGGTTATTATGTTTGCGATTAATTAAAAAAACACTCCTTTATTATTAGTTTCGTAATTGAGAAATGATTGTGTTTTAATTGGACGATTGCTCTATTTATTGGGTGTATAAATTAATTTTTATTGTTTTTTTGGTGAAAGGAAACATTTATTTAAAAATAATAAGAATGAGTACATTAACCAATTTACTGCCTATCGTTAGCTATGACTTCGGCTCATCTTCTTGGCAGCTTGTTGATTCCGCGTCGAAAGAATTCCTCATCTTTTCCAGCTATCCATTGATCGATCCATTTTCGCACTCCTTCAGCATTTCTAAACGATATCTCAGACAAGCCCATTTGCATCGAGCGGAACAAGTGATAATCAGAAGGAGCAAGGTCTGGAGAGCACGCAGGATGATCAAGCTGATCCCAACCGAGGTCTTCTATCTTTTGTTTCACGATGTGTGCCCGATGTGGCCTAGCATTGTCGTCGTGAAACAAAACTTTGTGGTTTTTTCTCGCTACTAACGGTCGTTTTTCGTTCAATGCACGTGCCAATCTGTTCAATTGTTGTCGATGGCGATCAGCTGTAACCGTTTCACCTTGTTTTAGCAGCTCATAATACACTACTCCTTTCTGATCCCACCAGATGCACAACATGACCTTCTGGCAATGAATGTCTCGTTTTGGCTGCGACGGTCCTGGTTGGCCTGGATCAACATACGCTCCTTTACGTTTGGGGTTATCATAATAGACCCACTTTTCATCGCCAGTAACAATTCGACTCAGAAAACTATGTTTTTTGTGCTCGGCAAGATGCTGTTTGCATGCTGTGATTCGTGCTCTAAATTGATTTTCATTCAGTTGATGTGGTACCCATTTTCCTAGCTTTCGAATTTTTCCCATTGCATGCAAGCGCATGGAAATGGTTGCTTGGGTCACATTTAACTCCAATGCAAGTTCTTTTTGCGTTCGGGCCGAGTTTTCATCTAATAATGCTTGCAATTCCTCATCTTCAAACTTTTTTGGTTGACCTGGCCGTTCTTTGTCTTTCAAATCAAAATCACCACTTTTAAATCGTTGAAACCATTTTCTACAGCTATCTTCCGACGGTGCTTGTTTGCCATAAGTGCTACGCAGCAGCCGATGTGCTTCAGCGGCACTTTCCTTGATATCAAATAACAGAAGTAGCGCTGCACGAAAAAATTCCTTACTACGATTCATTTTAGATCGATTCAAAAACAATGGTACTGTATGAAAAATAAACCTTTCCGATCTGAATTAGATTGACAAATGTCATATGTACAAAATTCAATTGGATTCACCTTCATTCAAGTCTAAGTGGCGACAGCTAGATGTTGTCAATAAAAATTAATTTATACACCCAATAGTACTTATAAGTTACGCGGTGGAAATGTCGTCAGTCATCAAAAGACCTGAAATATGAAACAAAAATTAGTTTAGTGATAATGTGCTTCTTTTCCAAATCGAGAGAACTGCTTAGTAATAAGCATGCAATGTCTATCGTATTGTTTAAAGGCAAAATCAGTCAATAATAGATAAATGAAAACCCAAATTTTCGCTTTCATAAAAATTATGATTGTGCGATAGTTGTTACTTATGAATATCTGGATACAGTTCTATTGTATGACAACATCAATATAAATCAATAAAGATATCATCAGGCGCTGAAATCGAGTTAAAACAATAGAAGTGATTGTTATGGCTATAATTTCACAAACATTGCTACAATCACTATAACAATCACTTTTATTGTTTTCCATCCATCTTAGCTCCTGACGATATCTGGCTGAGCTGAAAATATCTCAATATAATGTCTGGTTTTTACTTCTACTATATTCAAGTGACATAAATAAATTGCTTGTAAGTTTTTTTTTAATCTCAGGCATGTATCTTATCGTATAATGTTGTTATTCTCAATTACCTGCTATGCTAGCATTGATAAAACATATAATTGATCCGGAAATTAAAGCACGAACAGCAACTGATGTAATAACGCTTCTATTCTCTGGGCACATAGCGCCAAGATTACCAATCATCATACCTAACGAACCCAAGTTTGCAAAGCCACAAATGGCGAACGTTGTTATTGCTGAACTTCGAAGCTTGAAGAAAAAAAAAACAATCAATCAATCACAATTTGTTTTATCGATGTGAAATCTGTTTTTCTTTTAACTTACCGAAATTTCGTTGGCTGCTTTCAATTTTCCCAGTCGTTCGTACGCAACAAATTCATTGGCAATATTTTTCAATGCGATAACCTCGCCGACTTTTTCACAATCTTTCCATGGTATGCCGATTATATAAGCAAGCGGAATAAATAATTTGCCAAAGAACCATTCAATGGTAATGCCGTCGTAGCCAACGAGTAGGGACAACCAACCGACGATACCATTCATGAATGCAACGAATGAAACAAAGGCCACTAGATTTGCTATGATACCGCCGATCAATGATATAGCAGCAAAAGCGCCATTTGCTGCAGCGTCCAGTACAGAATTCTCCGTTCTAATTGAAAATTGAATATCAAGGACAGCCACTGAGAAGCTTAAAATTAAAAACTTACGATTTTTCCATTTTGAACGTTTTTGACGATGTCTGGCTAATTTCAGTCTCTGGATAAATAAGTTTCGAAAACGCCAATGTGGCCGGTGCAGCCATCACACTAGATGTAATCAAATGTGAAGCAGACGCACCAAAATCCATATAAGCGGCTAATACAGTGCCCGAAACGGTTGCGAAACCGGAACTCATGATAACGTGAATTTCCGATGCGGTCAGATACTAAATACAGACATTTCTTTTAGGAAAGGCATAAAGGATGCATTAATCACTTACTTTTATGTATGGTTGGATAATCAGAGGAGATTCAGTCATGCCAAGAAATATATTGGCAGCAACAGTTACACTTTCACACATTGTTGTACCGAGAATCGATTGAAGCATATCACCCATTTTTTTGATGATCCATTGCATGGCACCATAATAATACAATATTGATATAATAAAACTGAAGAAAAAAATAACCGGCAATATCTGAACAAAAAAACATATCGGTCAAAGTGGCAATAAAAATATTTTCTTGACGACAATTTTGGAGAACAAAATATCACTCACCGAGAATGCAAACACTTTTGCTGTTTCAACGAGATCAGCACCATAAACGAATTTGGCTCCATGTTTGGCAAAACTGAAAAAAACTGCCACTTTTTCACCCAGACAAACGAAGATTTTTCGACCAATTTCGATTCGAATACAGAAAAGACCCAATATGAACTGCAGAATGACACCAAATATCACTGGCCGCCAGTTGATCTGATTGGGAATTTGAAAAAAATCACATTTTTATATAAAAAAAAACAACGTGGTTATCACATTTTCTATCGAATGAAATACTTTTTCGATGATTTTGCAAAATGTGTCACACTTTTCAAGAAGTTACCTGCGATCGATGTTTTGAAAAAGCAAAACCAATAGAAAGTAGAATGACAATGCCAAGTAGTGACTGTAATCTCTCCGGTGATTTATACGTATCAATTCCAATACAAACGGCAAATATAAGGAGAATGACGACAACGAAGGCAACTTTTAGAAATCTAACAAAATTATTTGCTATTTTAGTATCTTTTTTTCACACACAAAAAATATCAACGTGATTTCGTACTTGCTCTTTTGGAATGTAGCGGATATTTGTCTTTTATACGGTCGAATTGATGTCGATATGCATCTACCCAACAACGGCTTGAGAACGTTGAAATATATGAGGCATGTGTAGACAAAAATCATCAGCAGTGCTAGCATTCCATAGCCATCACACCACATGCTGCTACACTCCGATTCGGATAATTCTGCGAATTATTTTTATTTCTGTAAATTGTTCACAAATTGATTTTTATCTATTACTTTTATTAAAGAAATGGTATGTGGCCCAGGCAAAATAAGCACCAACGATGCCATTTATAACGATAATTTTAACGCATCGAATGTGTGTTGAATATTTATCTGAAAATGATTCCGATTCTTCGTCATCATCAATAAAATGTAGTTCACGTCTTGGCACTTCGGCAATTGATTCCAATGTATGCGTCTAAATTAGTAAAGTGGTCATTGACAATTCGGCCATCTATGTTGTTTTTTTATATGCTTTTACATACCTGTTGATCCCTTTCAAAAGCACCATTTGAAGCCCCTGTCCCCTGTCTACTCATCTCGAAAACAATTTTGACTTTACACAATTATTTTTATCAGAATGAGCTCTTGAAAATACTAATGAAGACGAATAGGTGTTGGAAGTACGATTTTCAACTGAATGAATTACTTGAACTTATCGCCTGTAGAAGCATTTTATTGAGAATATAAAATACCCAATTTTGATTTCGATGATATGTGATACGTCAAGATAAGCTTCTTGAAACGTGAATCAACGTCAAAGAAGATATACAATCAGCTTGATAAGAGTTTGGAATTATGAGGGGTAAATCACTTGCTGTAAGTCTACGTCTAACTTAAAAATCAGTCGAAAATGCAAATAAAAATCTTGTCGAATCAGATAGAAATCAACTGGTGAAAAAGAGCTTTTTATAGAGAAAAAAATATCAATTATTTCCGAAGTAATTCTTGAAAGAGCCGGTTTTGACACTGAAAAAAAACTCACCTTTTAACATCAAATGTAAATTCGTAGAATAAATCGTATATGAATGTACACAAAGACATATTAAATGAAATAATTATTGTTTTCAATAACTAGATTGATCATAAAAAGTGATGAATTCCCTATCCGCACACGTAACGATTTTTTTGGTAATTTTCACTGAAAAATGTATCGCTTTTTTCATTTAAATTTACCGTAAACTTTTCATTATAAAAAATTTCCCATAAAATCTTTTTTTCGGTATTATGAAGGGAAATTTTTAAGTTATTACTATTAATTAATTGAAAAAAAAATAGAGAGATCTTGAATTTGAACACCAAATCATTGGAAATACATTATTTGAATGCAGACATTTATATTGAGATTTTTCAGCCAGGTGAGTCAGCTCAGCCAGATATCGTCAGACGCTGAAATGGATGGAATCCTGACGATATCTGGCTGGGCTGATTCATCTGGCTGAAAATATCTCAATATAGTGTCTGTTTGAACAACGTTCCTTCTAAAATGATTTTCCACAAATATAAGAAATCGCGAGATACATGAATTGATTTGTAAATTATATATTGTAATTGCGTGTGGATCTGTGTAATTTTGTACAGATAGCAATCATTTGCCCCTATCTTGATTACGAAAACAATGATATCAAAAGAGTTAAAAGCGTTTACATCAAAGTCGAAAAAAGAAAAATCGTACGAGCCAATGGAAATGACAAAAAAATACATATATATACGCATTATTGATTAAATGGCACGCGTTTATTAACTTGAATTACTTATCGAATCACGTTTACCAAATTTGATTTCAATTAGGTCATCATTTTAATCAAGAAAAAGCCATTGCGATAAGATCAGTTGACGGGCCTCTAATTATTACATCACTAAAATGGCCGTCATATGATGAAAAAATTGTAAAAAAATGGAAATACTATCATCACATCGTAGTATAAATTTGAATGAAAATTGTAGAATTTAAGAAGAGATTTACTAAAACTTTTATGACCGTCAGAATAGCGATTTAATGACATTACCATTACGTATCTTTATGCCTTGCTCAAATCTCAGAACAAAATGTATATTCCTTGAATATTATTCAATAAACAAGATTAGGTGTAAACCCAAACAGCTGTAAGTACATAAAAAAAGCATTATTTCATTTGTGTCGTTCGCAACGGCAAGAAAGTGTATTGAAGAAAATAAATGGCCAAATATCCCTTTTGATAGACTATTAAATCGGCCTATCAACGTGCCAAGTGGATTTTTTACGATTCGCATTAGAGGAAATACAAAGTTCATGATATGGCAATAAATTGTGTTTGAAGCGGAAATGGTATATTCAACAAGTTGGTCGTAAAATGAAAACTTCATGTGTGCTTTTTTTACATTTTTCATGTTTAAGTTCACTTTCATATTTATTATATAATTTTTTTTTAATCAGTAATTTCCTTTGTTTTTAACAATGATTAATAATTTTTTAGTGTGTACATTTACAACACTCAACCAGATTTAAGCTGTCGCGTCTAATTAATGTGTGTTTCAATAATAAGATAATAAGTATGCGGTTCGTTATAAATCCATACAATTTGCGTCCCTTTGCATTAAATTCTTGTTTCAATGGAATTGCTGTTGTTGTTGTTCTTGTTTGTTTGTTTCTTTACCAGAAAAAAAAGTGTAAATAGAATTGCATTAGTTTTTTATATTTATTTTCACTTTCTCAGCACGCATTTTATTACATTTAAAATTTACGATAAGTATAGGAAATGCGAAGAATAGTATCTGTTTCATAATAATAAATCGTAAAAACTAACGAGTAAAAAAGAAAAAAAAAACGACTCTTTAACAAAAATCAATAAAATTGGAAATGGTCTAATGATAATAGCATTTGCAGTTGTTGTTTGTGTTATTTATTGAATGCAATGTCTAAATGTTTTTGTTTTGTTTTAAAAATATGCTTTTATGTCTCACTTTCGAAGTGGACGCGACAGTTGAAATCAATGCTTAATCTATTCTCATCTGAATGTAAATTCAAATTGTTCTTGTTTTATGTTTTTTGTTTCGTACACGGGTAAATCGTAATGCATAATTCGTTAATTTTGATGTTTTTCATGTGATTTTTTTTTCTTGTTGTTTTTTTTTTTAAATATTAATTTACTGAATCAGAATTTGAAATAGTCCCACAAAGCCGATTCTTAAGTTTAACTTATTCCATTCAATTTTTCATTTCAATTAAATTAATCGTTAAGTGTTGCATGTTCTAGTTTGCTTGTTTGTTTTTATGTTTTTTTTTTTTGTTTATATTTAGGGTTGGTTTGTTTCTTTTCTTTTCATTTTTTTCGTAACTTTTTTTTTGTTATAATTCTGTTTGTTTCTTTTTTTATTGATGGTTTGAATGTTTTGCGCCCGCAACATCAGTAGAAGTAGCAGCACCCCGATCGATTTCGTTGATTCAGAGCATAAATTTTCCTAAAATCCATCCGAAAAGAGCCATTGCAATGGCTATAGCAATGTACTTGATTGGTAGCTGTTGTTGAGCCAATTGTGGTGGTGAATATGGATTCTGGAAAGCAGCCGATGGTTCTTTCTTTGAATTCATATCGCTTAGCATACGTAATCGCAAAATTTCCTCCTGCAAAATAATGAAAATGAAAAAAAAAATCATAAGCCAATGCTATCGACAATATGGATGGATGGATGGCGAACAAGAACTTACTTTTAGTTGCATGTTTTCTTGCCGTAATTGACTTTCGCCATCGCGCAATTGTCGTACTTCAGCCGAAACCCGTGCTAGATCAGATGAATCGCGTGCCTGAACGCATTAAATAAAACGAGAGAAAAACTTAGAATCTCGGAAATTGAATACATACAAAGAGTTTTGTCTATACCTTATCATCGCCGGAGCTAGCATTTGCATCACTGCCGCCTGCCGTATTCTGATTTTCTTCTGCACAAATAAATAAATAAACGAAAAATAAAGATTTAAACTATGGAATTTTACCGTCGATCATTATTATTTACCTTCATTGGTCGGTTGTGGTCGATTATCATCCGGAAATTCAAAAACGCACCGCAATTTTGAATCCATCAAATCTTCCGATTTTACATCTTTCCACTGTAAACAATTTGAATGTAACACATCATGAATATGGCCAAATGCCGTAGAAACGAGCAATTCTTACCAATTGTTCCGCATTGAATTCACCTTCTGGAGCAACAAGACTTTGAACCATGAACTTATGTTTATTTTTTTCATTCGGATCAAAATCAAATGGTTGTAGGCAAACTAAAGACAATGCAAAAGTCAAAACATTACACGCATGTCACATGGTGTCTATACTAAAAAAAAACTAAATTAGTCCGATACTTACTTCCAACTTCTATAAAATTATTTGGCTCTAGCAATCCGGAATTTGGACGCACACAGTATCGTTTTGGGGCCGTTGTTTTGATTTTGAATAAAATTGGTTTATCAGTTGGATTTTTCAACAACATATGTGATGTTATGGCCTGATTGAATGGACCTGAAATTCATAAATATGTTTAGATTGAAACATCGTCTTTAATTGAGATTTTTTTTGCTCTCAGACAAATTGCCAATTATTTTAATTGAGATTCACTTTGATCGAATTTAAATCGATGTGAAAGAATCGCGTTCTCATGCATCTAAGGCGGATAATAAGACGTTTCAATCAATTTCTTAAGTGATTTATCTGTAATTACTTTGAACGATGCAGATAATGTGAAAATCTTAGCGGCGCCAAAAAGTTTCCACATTCTTATCACCCACTAGCAACACATTACATCAAGTATCTCACATGAAAATCAAATAAAGATATCATCGAATATTATTGACGGAAATGTCTGTGGGCACATAAAAAGAACTCTGTCTTTAATGGGTGCATTCTCTTTTGACCCACTTCGAATGGGTAATTCCGGCTTTTGGTCAATCCATTGAGTGGAAGAGTATAATGGTGGCACATTTATCGTTCGCTATTTTTTTATTTGCCTCAATTCCATAATATGTGCTTCGAAAATTTTCTTTCTTTAAATTTCATTACGTTCCGCATTTCGTAAAAATGAAACAGTCGATCGAAAACAATCAATATTGAATGGGAAAAAAGTGAGTTGGCATTTGTTTTCAAGTTTGCTTGCGTTTTATGTAAAATTGTGATATTTGGTGAAGCGTTGCAATGACGGTTCGTGTGAACAAATCAATAAAAATCATATTCCATCCAGCAATTAACTGAAATCGATTCATTCGATTTGAAATGAACACGAAACAAGTAATTTCGATTGAATGAATTGTTGTTATGTATACGCAGCAAACATGAATGAAAAACAACGGAATTTATGGCGTTTTTTAATGTTGTTTTTATGAATCATGTTTTTGAAAAATAAAAAAAAATTACTGAAATAATCGATTAATTAAAAAGCAACATTTACAGTCGTTCCGTATGGCACAACAACAATTTTGAAGGTTTTAATGTCAGTGAATTGGTTGTCTTGGGCGAAATGCGAGTACATTCTATGATTCTTTGCCGCTATTTATAAACAAAAATCACTGCAATAATCATAATTTCTACTTCACTAAACATATAATAAAATCATGATAATATTGCAAATGTTGAAGATGTGCGCACGGTGAAAGCGAAGCACACACACATACACTCATAAAATTCATTAGAAGCATTCGTTTCGGCTCGCACGAAGAGCAACGAGATTGAGAGCAAAACAAGTGTACGCGAATTCAAAATAGACGGAGGATGGAATGATGATTTAATAATTATATAAAAATCTAAACGTGTCGTTTGGAAGCAACCGCCGACGACACATATACATGTAATGTCTGTCAATATTTCATTCACAGTATGTGTATATGAGTATATGCGGTATAATGCGGTGAAATTGCTCTCGGTCATAGACAATTTTAAGTTGAAATATTTTCGAAATTATTCATTTTGTCTGCACATTGAAAATAAGTCGTCAATTTTGTCGCTTCAGTCTCGGATGCGTTTTGTCTTCACCTAATAGCGATTGTACACCGATTAAATGATATTGGACTGACGTATATATGCGATTTTATGTTCGAATTAGACAAATTAACGCAATGCAAACGTCGAATTAATCCAAAGAACGATAAAAATGCGCACTAAAAATCAATTTACACTGTAAATAACTTGAGGTTGGATGACGCATATGACAGTGCTACAGCACAATTCTAGTCATTTCTATTCGTCGCGGGGTTACTCTGGGCAGCAGTGGTTGAATCCGAAGCAATTCTAATTTAATTCAATTGCATTTTTAACGGATAATTTATATTCAATTCAACTTTTATAAATATATTAAATTGGAGCAAATCGCATTCACCGTACATTGTATGTGCGTGGATTGTTTTATCCGAATTTGCTAAACTGCACACCGAATGGGAGTGAATGCACAGTTTTTTTGTTGTTGCATATTTTCATATAATGAATAGAAATATTCTCGTTAGATAATTTGCATGTAAAGTAATTTGTAAGCGGCACGACTGTAGCGGTATGCGATTTAGTGTCAATTTGAAGTGAGTTCTCATTGCGTGCGTGTGTATGCGTGTGTTTGTGCGTGTGTAGCTATCTATGTGATTTAATACATAGAGATATAACGGCCAAAATTGTACATGCAGCGCTTTATTCGTTTTCAAGCGCAATAAAATACACAGTCACCAAGTCCGTGTGTGATCGAGACAGAATGAACGATATGGGTCACGCATTTGGCCAGAAAGGGATGCACACACATTCGCGTACATCCATTGAACTGAGCGCCACAAATATATGACGACAAAACAAAAATGAAATATTTCTCTCTAGCTTCTTTATTGTTTGTATTTTCAAGCAACGTCAAGTGTTTCCGCGGAATTACACATTTCATCGAAATATCATTCACGAATCAAATGTTAACACGCAGCAATTTCGCTTCTCATTTTCCACTTTTGGACGGAATTTTTTTTAATTTCATTATTTCCACGAACATGATCTGTGCTGTCACCAAAATAAGAATATGGATTGAAAAGAAGACGAAGAATTTTTTTTTCTCTGGCAAATGCAATAATTTCCCAACGACTGACACACATATTTCGTCGACTTTTTTTTTCTTTTATTTTATTTTTCTCATTTGTCAGCAATTTGTCTGAGTTCACGGCTATTAAATTCACTTACCACGAAATCTCAACTCATGTTCTGGCATAATAATAAGCAATTGCTCTTTCTTTTCCATTTTCTTAAAATTTTCGATGGCAATTGATGGTTAAAATGTAAATAAAAAAAATAGTTTTCGAATTTCTTTTTTTTGCTATCGCCGATGCGTTATGTGTCGTTGTAATAAAGAAGTACTTCGTTTGACTGCGAAATTTCTTCTTTTTCCCTCCGAAAGAATACTAAAAGGGCCTCACTGACTCTTTCTGTTCCTCTTAATTTCACTCAATCACACAAAATTCGCACTAATATCGTAATTTTGACAAATTAAAAATAAAATCCATACACTTGTGCTGGCTTGACGACAACGATGTTTTTTTTCTCACTGTGTCTACTTTTACAAGAATATTTTTTTTTTCTTTTTTGCCCCTATTACAGAATGAGCGTATGATTCTTATTTGGCAAATGATGAATACTGTGTGTATGTGAAAATGAGCACGAACGAAAAGTAAAATCGAGCAACGATGAATTGCACAGAAAATCATGTACACACACAAATATTTCATGTAAACGCATGCGTCATGTTTTCAACATGGAAGTACGAAGTATTTTGAGCTAAACAAATAAACTAGTGTTGTCTGATGCCAGTCCGATTTCAAATTATTGTTCACAAATAATTGAGTTTCGGTCGATTTTTTTTGTGTTCGAATAATTTCATGTTGATTTAGTTTTTTTCATATTCGATAAATTTAGCTTTTGTGTTTCATTAAATTACTTTTGATGCAAACAATTGAATCTGAATTCAGTTTTGAAATAACGTTCACAAAACAGAATGACGTTTTACACTTTGGATTTCCAGACTGAGCTCAATTGATAAAGTGACAGACGAACTTAGCCCAAATTTGTTCGATGTTGTCGAATGTATTTTTCCGTTTATAAATACATGAGCCAAACATTTTTTAACACTTTTTTGTTTTCAATCAAATGTGCATAAAATTACATTTTTGTTCACTATGAAATTGAATATAAAATAAGATGTTCGCTACGACATTAAACAACAATGCTGATGTAATAACTACCACGAAATTACACCTTTTTTGCATTCATATATTCTTGAATATGACTAATTCAATTTCATGTAAAATCTCATTTCATTTTGTTATGAAATTGTGTAACACACTTTGGCTGGATGGGTTTGATTTTGATAATCGAGTTCATTCTATTCAAAAGAGAAAAAAATGTATATATTCTGACGAGAGCAATTGGTGAATCATTGAACTATAATTCATTTTCTCTGTGTCAACATGTTTCGAAATTCCTTCTTATCGCATATTCTGTAAAAAATGGATCTATTTTCGTTCTGCTATCAATTAAAAGCCCAATGAAAACATTGAAAATTAAAAAAATATGCCTCCATTGCCCATTTAATAATGCTCGAGATTCTATTTTTTCGTATACATGATCACATTTAAAGAAAATATTTTTTTACAAAAAAAATTGAAAAAAAAAAAAAAAATAAAAAGAAAAAAGTCGAAATAAAAAAAAATTGTCAGAAGGGAGATTCGAACTCCCGCCCACAGAAGTGGACCAGAAAACTCATTTTGCATGAGCAAGAGTATTATTCTTGAGTCTGGCGCCTTAGACCGCTCGGCCATCCTGACATATGAATGTTAGGTGGTTCATTGATTACGCACAGTTGCAAATTCATTAACCGTTGATATTCGATGACATAACTACAATGAGATAGCTAATAGAAACATACTGATTTTGTGGTGGCATCGGGTTTAAATTCTTTAATTGTAAACCATATATGAAAATGCCACGACTGCATACAAATTGATATTTTTGAAATGATTATAAATCAAATGGAGTGCAATACTCTTCATACACATTTTGTCTTTTAATTTGAATTCAATTTGAATTTAATTTGAAAACAATATTTTAATTACTAAAGATTTATTTAACTAAATGAGTCTTGTGTTGTTTTTAACTAAAAGAGTACGCCGGCAGAAAAGTTCCAATCAAATGTTAATGCTTCGTGAATTTCTACCTAAAAAAAACTCAGTATGTTTACCTACTGAAAACCTAAATTGTTCTTTTTACCTAATGCAAATAAGCAGGCAAAATTTAAAAATAATATACAAAAATCTAATGAAGCACTTTTTCGAACGAATAAAAAAATAGTGGTGAAATTGTTATAAAAAAAGAAAAATTGAATTAGCAAAAAACATATTGGCAACGGCGAGATTCGAACTCGCGCCTCCGAGGAGACTGGTGCCTAAAACCAGCGCCTTAGACCGCTCGGCCACGTTACCCCGTGCTTGTTGCGGTACTCAGAACTATGAAGAGAAGATCATTTTTGCATTTTATACGTATTTGGCACGAATGATTAAAAAGTTAACAGAGTAAATCAACACATTTTCGATAGCAACAAGATAAGGGATACAATATCGACATGCATTCCTATAATGTATTTTAATCATCAATTACCATAACCAATTTTCACACAGTTTTCAACTCTCAAAACATATGTTCAATCTTGTAAACAAAATACACCCATTATTTTCGTAATTATAATTAAATTTTTAGCAAAATTGTTCGCTTTTAATAGCAGCTTTTATTTCTTAACAAAATACAATTTTGATGAGTGAAAATGTTGAAACGAAACTTCATCATGTTCATATTTTGTGGAATTTTTATTGCGAGCATATTGAAAGCAGCACCGAATAAAAACCAGGATGGATGTAATTTTCTTAGTATTTTCTCCAAATTGAAAAAAAGGAGAAAGCATTGATGGTTTTTCAAGCAAAAGACAAAAATTGTGATAAAAATTATACCCAAATTAAGGTACAAAGAATCAGTAGATTTTATGGAGGAATTTTATATGAAATTTTATATCGAATACGTTTATTTTTCATAAATTAATAGTTTTGATTTAAAAATGATGGAATTCGATAGGTACAGCTGGGAAGGAAAGGATGATAGGAATTTCAAGACCTATATGGTTGGCGGAACTATTACATGGAATGTCTGTCGCCTGTTTTAAAGAAGGATCAAAAGAGATTATTGGTTTAAGCATACTATATGTAAGTGAGAAGATTGGATTTAATAATGAAAAAATTATATGAAATGATTTTTTGATTTGAAGAAAAAAATCAAGCTTCCTTGGAATCCGAGTTCTCAATTGACTTATGGATTTAATGTGTTTCAACATTACGGAGTTAGTGAATACTCAAGAGGCAATGGTATGGCAACGGATTATCGGGCAAGCGGAGTTGGGAAGAAGCTTGTTGAGTGTCGAGAGGTAGTTCGGCACATCGAGTGCATTTACCTCCAAATATTCAATTAAAATAGCTGATGATTGCGGATTTGAGGAAAATATAAACAAAGGGTAATACAAGCCAATTTTTTAATATGGTTTATTAGAATCTTTTTGATCATTTTCAGTTCTTCTCATGGTGGTTATAAACATTTCTCAATTTTGAAATCGAAGCGGTATAATTTCACGTTCAATACAAGACTATACATTTTATCGGTGCATTTGGAATATTTTTCAAACTTAATATATGTCTTTTTAGCTTGACTTACATTCTTACTTTGCTCATTTTTTACATATTTCAGTAGAATCATTTCAAAAAATACAGCAAAATGTTTCATTTATGATAAATAATATAAAACCCAGAGAACAGCTTTCCTAGATCTGAAAATTGCTTACGAAAAAGAATTTGTGCGACTTAAACTTTAATTCGTAATGTCATTTTTTAAAAAAATACCATTTTTATCTATAAAAACGAAAGAAGTGTGATAACAATCGATTTTTACTTTCATAAATATTTATTTCGTCTAATTCACTTAAATATAGCGATGAACATGGATATCACGTTTACATCATCTTTTTTGCTCAAGCAATTAGATTTTCTTTCAACATGTTAATGAATTGTTTTGATATAAGTAATATTACTGCATCGACAATTGTATCGTTGTTCCATACAAAAGTTTAAATCTCAAGGTCGTTCTGTTTCTTATTTGCATTCACCTTATCAGAACCCATATAAACGTGCTTATATCACCGTGTGTGTATACGATATATCATATCATTATATTTAAGATGTATATGTGTATTGTGTATTTTTAGAAATGGATTGCTTTTTCATGGTTCTGAGTACTCAAACAAGCACGGGGTAACGTGGCCGAGCGGTCTAAGGCGCTGGTTTAAGGCACCAGTCTCTTCGGAGGCGCGAGTTCGAATCTCGCCGTTGCCAATATATTTTTTCAAAAAAAAAAAACTCTTTATTTTTTTACCCAATTTCATTGCATTTTTTTTTTCTTTTTAAATTAAAATTAATACAAATTAAGTACAATGGTTAATGATTTTTCGATTGTGACAGAGGTCAAACAGAATTCATTTCACAGAGAAAAATTTGTGAAATTTTGTTTTGGAATGTATTACATGAAATTCGCTATATTTTTATCAATTAAATTAAATTAAATTATAGGAAATTATTTCTAAATTGGTAGTAAATAAGTCTAGTTATCTTTGTTGCTGATTGTGAACTCTTTTTCGTTGTTGTTCGTTATCACTGTTGGTTTTTTCTTATCAAATATATATTTCTTGATGTTTTGGAAGGGCGTATCAAACAGCAAAGTAAGGATAACAGATACCGCAATTATGAATAATATTTCATAGATGTTGCCCTATTTCGAATGACAAAAAGATCGAAAAGTTAAAGTGATGCCACAATAATAAAAGTTAAAAATTTAAAAATTACATTTGTTGTGATAAAATTATAGAATCCCGAGTGTTTGGTTGTGCCAACATTGTAAAAGAATATTGGAAACTGTGTCAAATATATGGCATACGCGAGACGTGTTGTAACCAAGAACAGTCGACAAGACAGAATTTCGCTAATAAAAGCTGAAACGGAGGATTAGGAAAATTTTTAAATATCACATTTCGAAAAATGAATAATATGAAAACCGTGATTACATGAATATCCAATGTGGGTGGTGAAAATGATCCATGCAAAAATGGTGCACCACGACATAGGACTGAATGCAGCATAAAAGGCGGCATCGTACGGATTGTATTTGTAGTTCATATTCCCCATTTTGGCCGGTCCAATCAATACAATCGACAACATCAAAATGCTTATCGACCATCCATAAATTAATTGACTCTAAAGAATACAAAACCATTTGAAATTAAAAAAACCATTTAAAACGTCATCATTTCAATCACTTACCTTGGATAGTTTAACATGTTTATACATTCGCATTGCATAGCCTACGAAAATGCCAAAAATATAAATGGTGGCTCTATGAAGAGGCATACTATACATCAAATCGGCCGTTCGGAATAGTTGCTTTATACTGAAACCATACATAATATTCCTTTAAAAAATCATCTCTGGTAATTCAAGTGAATAACTTACGATGCACCGAAGTATACATAATTCGAAAGTTGATGTGCAATGGTCACATAAAATCTGGCACCAGTGCTGAACACAGCCACAGAAAGTAGACCGATTGATCCCATTTTTGGCCATTTCCACAAAATCAAAATTAAAATCGGCGACAATACAAAGAGTTGCGTATCAATTCCAAGATGATGTGTATGAGTTAAACACTTTGAACACAAAAGCATAAAAATGATTAAAAAGTTGTCAACGCTTGAGAATAAAATTCATTACCATTTTCCCGAATCCAAAGTAATTGTGTACGAAAAGGAAATTTTTCCACCAATTTTCTTTGCAAATGTCAGCATGTTGTTCGACCACCAAATTCCACTGTGGCCCAGCTCCAAGTTCTGGCAGAATGAATGTGCAGAACAAAATAAGAGCACCAAGTGTCGGAACAATACGGAGAAAACGACTGAAGTACTCTTGTCCGATGCGCGGTGATTGATTATTTTTCAAACGACCAATGATTGCGTACGATGTCAACAAGCCACTCAACATTATAAAAGCATCTGTATAAATGGCTGCCGCTCTTGCAATCACCGATATGTATTCACCAATTTGCTAGAAAAGGTTAAAAGTCTCCGATTTATTAAGGAAATTGAACAATGAACAAGATACGTACCTCTATCATTTGTGTTTGATTCGTGTGCGGATTGTAGAAGACTGCCATTGATTTATGCGAGATTAAAAGTAGTCCAGCATTAATGAATCGTATGCCATGAATGGTGCTCACATCACTTGGACTTCGATCCAAACTGAACAATGCTTTTGAATTTTTCCACAAAGAAAACGACACCAGCAACTCATCTAATGAAAAAAAGAAGAGATTATTTTGACACCAATTTAAGTCAACATATCGAGTATGAACAGTGAAACTAATATGGTAACATTTCTACTTGGATTGGAGTGTAAGAGATCGATTATGGTTGATGCTGCGGCTATCGCCAATATCGATGCAAAGAAAATGCTGAAAAAATGTAAAGAGAAAAATATTGAAGATGATGGAATGTATTTTTTGAGATCTAACTTACATGGTGAGTTTAGTGTTTTGACTCCAATTCCGTTCTTTCTTAATTTGACACATTTTATTCTCGACACGAAGTTGATACTCAATCGATGTACCACTCACAAATTCCTTCAAATATTCATTTAACGAGTGCTGAACGTCAAGGTTGGTACATGTTGACGGAACACATAAAGCGTAATTGATGATTGAGAGACGCGGCACACGGTGACCAGGCTGAATAATCAAATATTTTTCGATTAACGCTTCAATAAAAATTACATTTTTGGTTTTTTTTATAAACTTATGTCCGTTTCGCAAGCATAAAAATCTTTTTTGTTAAATAGATTTATTTAAAAAAAAAAAACAATGATTTAAAAGTCTGTTTAATGAAATGAGAAAAAATTTGAAAAAAAAAAAAAAATTTGTCAGAAGGGAGATTCGAACTCCCGCCCACAGAAGTGGACCAGAAGACTCATTTTGCATGAGCAAGAGTATTATTCTTGAGTCTGGCGCCTTAGACCGCTCGGCCATCCTGACATATGAATGTTTTACGATTCAGAACGACGTTGTGACACTGTAAAACTACTCAATGATCATTTTCACTTAGTATAAGAGCACCTGGTGTGACTACATGCACCATGGAGTGTGAAAACCTCAATTATATCACTCATTACATGCATCGAGTTTATTTTTGTAACAAGCGGACGAGCAACAATTGTTATATCGTAAAAATATTTGCGGTCTTTAACTTTTCAAATACCTACAAGGTTTAAAAGAGTAAAAAAAAATCATAAATAGCAAATGAAATGTGTATATTCTATAGAAATTTTATACAGTAAGTAATTTCACTGCCTTTTTGTACGAATATGTTTTGATTTTGATGTGCAACCAAAAAAATTTATGCGAAAAACAGATATTAGGTGAGTTTTCATTTATCTTGTGGTTTGAACTAAATTTTCAGTTTTTTATCGACGAATCCGATGATAAGTACTTTTTTTTCACTTAAATGAATTTGAGTGGAAATCTCAACGATTTCAACTCATTTTGAGTAAAAAATTATTTACAGTGTGCATTCGGAAAGAGATCAAAACAACCGATTGAATTCCACTCGAAATTTAAATTAAATGCTCTAATCACGAATTGTTTTGATCAAGATTCGTTGATGTACTTGAACACAACGAAAAATGATGACTTACGATGTTAATTGTTACACGTTAGCAATTGACTAATTATTGTACGAACATATCATGAAAATTCAAATGATTTTAGGGCAGGTTGTAGTTGCTAAAGCAGCCAATGTCTAAGTATAGTCAATTACTTGGAACACTTGCACTTTTCACAGCGTAAACGATTAGCACACATTGCATTTAGGTGTGGAGTTTTGCCTCAATTGCGTCTTTGTTCATGGACTAATATTCAAATGACATTTTTGCGAGAAACACGCCCGCCTCACATATCTCAATGCAATTGATGCTCTTTGTTCCATTGCATGTTTGAATTCTAATAATAAATATTGACATGTTATCATCCAATTTGAATTGGAATTTATGTGTAAGAGTAATCAATTTCTTTACGTGGCTTATCCCATGATTCATGGCTCATGAATCATCGTGAAAATTAAGATGACATTAAAGAGACTTCAGAAAAATGCTATTCACGTAGGAATAGTTAATCAGTTCAATCTTGTTTGGAATCCACCCGTGACTGGCACACATGATGACCGACGGTTGAAGATACTCACAAGACAAAACAAACGGCGTTGACCTTGACTTTGTTCGAATGTGTTGTATGAATTTATTTTCAATTGCCTTGAGCCGGAAAATCGTTGTATACTACTCTGTTCCGCTCCAATCGAAAAAAAAATGCTGCCGATTCAATGCACTGGAATCGCATTCGCATTGGTATTTAATGAAGAGTGTGTAAAACACGGTGAAAAACCACGACGTCAATTACCGCAATTTAAGCGAATATTTTCTTCGAATATTAATGTTTACAAAACAAGCGAGAATTATGTAAATCACAACATGAAAATGATTCGTTGACAATGGTGTTTGTTTGTGCGCGATCACAACAATTTCATACATTCAAAGTGGGGTGGTGTCTCAAACAAACAACACGACACTTTGCGCATTCGTGAATTTAACGTCTTCATTATTAGTCGATTTATTCAGCAATTTTTTTTTTCACATCTTTAGTTTTAGTTTTGAAACTGTAGATTGATAAAAAAAAACAGCAAACGCTCTAGTTTATATTCAAAAATCAAACAAATTATTAGATTTGAAATTGTTTGCAACGATAGAAAACAGGATATGAAATAACTTCCGTGAAAATTTAATTGTGATTTTAATAAAATGAAATTTTTCTCTAAAATTGGATTGGTTTTTATGTGCTTTGTGTCTACGCTTCATGCTAGTAATTCGGTGGATTTGACAAAATGTGTCCGTGATATTGGAAATTGTGAAAGATTCTCTTTTCGTCGCATCCAACAAAATGTAACAAGTGTGAATAATTCATCGGATTCAAAGCACGCGAAATCTGAAGCGCTGAAAGATCTTGGCAATATTGAGAATAAAATTGTTGTGGAGCAATCACACATTCAGGAAAATGGTAATTGTTCCATCCGTGTAATCGTGTAAATTGTCCAATAAATTCTCCATTTCTTGAACACATACTTAAATGCCAGCCATTTTAACTTGAATCATTTATGAAAAAGTGAAGAATTATGCACAGATTTTTTTAAAATTTTGATTGAGTCGCAAGTAGTGACAATTTGTTCGGGAAAATCATTGAATGTTCGGTGACAATGTAATTTATGTGAATTTATTCAGCTAGTACGAAACTTCCGCGTTCGTATGTGTATCGTATACGATAAAATTCGGCCAATTTATGCACTTTCGATTTTCTATTACACTTCAATTTCTTTTGGCACATACAATGTGCTTTGATACGACATTATTTGTCGTTCACAGGTGCATAAATGGAATATTACGCAACCTCAAATATGAAATCATGATTTAATTGATTTTTTTCTTTTTTCATTTCGTCACATCAGCAATTTCATTCGAATTGGTAATTGGCAACAGAATTTTCGTTAAAACACAAAGCAAGCATGTTTCGTCTACTACTACTATTGGCTACTGTATGGTTTTGGCCGTGCGATATATCACGATGGTCAAAAACATATCCATGGAATATCAATCAGTATCGTTTTGCTGGCAACACATGATATTTTTTTTATGCGCAACCAAATTTCAAACACTGAACATGACACACATATCTAATTAATTGCCGTATGATCGACTCAATGTGCACCGCTGTTCTGAAAATCATCGTCATTTTCATCTCTCTCTTGTTTCCCAAAGAAATGTCTCACCCACATCACCATTATTTCGAATTTATATCAAAAAAATTGCACGTATTTTGCCAAAAATTACAATGAGGAACTGAATGTTAATCAAAATATGACAATTTTCAATCAATTTCATAAGGGATTTTGTAGTTTGAATATTGCGAAACAATATGACTTATATAAATCAGAAATACCTTACTATAGACTCAATTGATATTCAATCATCATATCGATTGATGAATGAACGCTGATCACATAAATCATTGCGTTTTATGCAGTTACCGCGTAATAAATGGATTTATTGACAGCATTGTGGATTTTCAAAATGATGCCATTTATTTGTATTTCGAATTAAAAAAAAAATAAGCATTTAGGTAACCGAAATACATTTTGATAGCAAATTAAATACATTGTCATTTGATAAATTGATCACCGCATTAGATGCATTCAATCATTAGTATTCCGTTTATAGACAATTCCTTTGAATGAAAAATGCTCAACTGCTTTACTGAAAATGGATTCTCTGTGTTGTTAAATGCATTTTAAGTGAGCTATTAATTCTTTTGTTTCTTTTCAGTTTATTTAGAAAACATAGGCAGCAAATTGTTGCGACTTACTCCTGCATTCAATCCGTCACGTAGCGAGAATACGTCAACTGCATGTAAAATTCACACCAGACAATTTTTTAATGCACTCAACCGTCTTGATTTGTGGGCATTCCAAAGTAATTACGACTCTTTTTTTTCTCTTCTAAATAATAAAATACACTTTCGATACTACCTCAAATTACATAGAACATATTGATGCAATCAATCTAGTTAACAGTGGTAATGCGTGGAAGGTCATCATTTTTTTTTACTAAATTGTGACTTTTTGTACTTATTATCATAACGCTGTGGCTTTTCTTTTTTTCCAATCGATTTTTCTGTGTTTAATAAACATTAATATTTTTGCTTAATTTCCCAAAGTGCACGATGCGTCGGCCAAAATCCCGTCGGGCATTTTAAGTGGAAACATCAATCAATTGGGCGATTTCGATCAGTGTTTAAATGTGATGGCACCAAACAATGAATTCAGCGGAAAATATTGTTTGGCATACGTTCAAATATCCGTGCCCGACTATTTACCGAACATGAAAAAACTTCGCAAATTGGTACATGCACACGATGCATTCGTGAATGACTTCGATGATGTAAGTATTTATGACTTTTTGTGTGCGTGTTTTATTTTTGTTTTTGTTTTCAATCCAATTATGGTCAAGCTTAAAAAGTTTATTTTTATAAAAAATTCACTCAAAAGGTCTAATGTGGATGTTTTTAATTTGCCAAGTGAGCTGTGTTTCGCTTTGTGAGATAGAACTGTGAGAGAAAATATGTGACATGATTTTTATATCAATTTCGAATTGATTCAGAACGATTGAAAATGCTGTCGACATTTGAAATAGCTCAGATTGATAATGTTTGTTGTGACAGAAGACTGATTAGTAATAATTTGGTGCATGAAGTAGACGCATGTTACTGCCCACATTGAGTTGTTTTTATTGTTTCACGTGCTCAGTGCTTGCGATAGACAGTGAAAATTCTATTTGAGTGATATTGTAGTGTCACAACATCGTTCTGAATCGTAAAACATTCATATGTCAGGATGGCCGAGCGGTCTAAGGCGCCAGACTCA